AAGATAAGGTGATAGCCTTGCCTGCTTTAGGCATGCGCCCAGTCCAGTCCCTGCCTCTGAATTTGCTCCCCGAGCACCATCAGGGATCACTTCTGAGCTCAGAGCCAGGGATCGCCCCTGCGCACTGCCAGGTGTGACCCAATTACCCTCCAAATAATATAAATTAAACAATAAAACCTGATATTGAATGATTCCCTCTCTTCCCATCTATCAATCCACTGGCTTCTTGACAGGATGTTAAATGAAAAGGCCACAGACATGCTCTGAGAAGCATTTATTCTGGTTTATAAAAACTCATTTTAAAATCTATTTAGACAGTAGTGGAGGTAGCTTCAAGGGCTGGAGTACATGCTTTGCGGGTGGGAGCCTTGGCTAGATCCTTAGCCCTGCCTGGGCCCCAAAGCACTATTGGGGTGAACCCTGAGCACTGAGCCAGGATATCCTCTGAGCACTGCTTGGGTGTGGCCCCAAAACAAAAATGTGTTTAGATACTTGAAAAATGTTATGTCAGGCACTCTTGTTCCAAAGTTTTAGTTAATCATAAACTGTAAGGTGTACGATGTAAGAATGTTTCATGTAGGCACATTTTTTTAACTATTATAGGCAAAAGACACATGTACAAGTTTTGCTATAATGGTTTGCTTAAGCAGTTGTTTATTTGTTTTCTATTATTATTATTATTATTATTATTATTATTGTGGGGGGGGGGATGTAGGGTAGGGCATAGCCAGTGTCTCTCAGGCTTACTCCTGGCTCTGCTCAGAGATCACTCTTAACCAGGCTCAAGGGACCTTATGGGAGGTCAGGGATCAAGCCTGGTTTGGGTACGTGCAAGGCTAGTCCCCTAACTCTGGTACTATGACTCTAGCGCCTTAGTTTCCATTTAAGTTTCCTTAGTTTCCTCACGATCACAATCATCCTGTTGTTCGTCGATTTCCTCGAGCAGGCACCAGTAACATCTCCTTCATCCTAGCCCTGAGATTTTAAAAAGTGCCACATTCAAGGCTCTTTCAGGGTTAGGAGAATGAGACCCATCATTGTTACTGGTATTTGGCATATTGAGTACGACACGGAAGTTTGCCAAACTCTGCCGTGCGGGCAGGATACTTTTGGTGCCTGCCAGGTTCTCCAAAGGAAAAAATAAGATGTCATGCGGCCGCAAATGTGGCCACGCGCTTCTGGGAGCTGAGTTTTATAGTCTCTGCGTTTTGGCCGTTGATGGGACCAACCTGGCGCTGGTGGCAGCTGGTGGGTGTGACGCCTACATACTGGAAGATGAGGGGGGTCTGGGTGGAGAAGGCCCAGTCCCAATCTGAGTAGGCTTGGAGACCTCAGCCCCCGGGGACCCACATGCCTGGGTTCCTCTGCCAGTTCTCTCATGCAGGAGGCCCATCCGGACGTGTGGAGAGTGGTCCCAGCATGGCCAGGGCTGGCTCCAGAGGTCCTCAACTGCTGGGGCTCTGCTCGGAGCCGGGAGGGGGGGAGGAAAGAAACTCAACCCTCCCCCCTCCAAGGGGCCCTGGTGAGGACAGCCAGGCGTGGGAGCAGGAGACTTATATATATATATATATATTTTTTTTTTACTAAGGCACTGTGATTTACAAGGTTAATTATAGCAGTTTCAGGCATCCAGGGTTCTAATACCAATGCCACCACCTCCTTGCAGCAGCATTCCCCAAGCTCTCTCCCAACCCCCAGCCTCCCTCTCTGACAGGCACATTGTTGTTGTTTCTTTTCTATGTAAGTCAGCTACCCTCTATGTTTATTACATTTTTAGCTTATGTGGAGGTAGGTTGACGACTATAGAGGGCGCCGTGTGTGAAAGATGACATTCTGAAATGTATTTTCTATTTTAGCAGTGATGATTAGTATTTTTTAAAAATCGTATAAAGTAGTATAAAGAAAAGGAACAGTGGCAAGAACTTTCCATGAGTTTGTTTTCTGTTCTGTGCCTGTTCATTCGCAGGCTGGCAAGCACTTGTTGGCTTTTTTTTTTAAGTGTGTGTGGGGGAGCGGGACAGGCATACCTGGCTCTGCACACAGGGATCACATGGTGAGCTTGGGAGACCAGATGGGGTACTGGGGATCGAACCCATTCAAGGCCCTACCCACTGTGTTACCGTTTAATTTTAATCTGGGCCTCAGGGCCCCTGATGCCACTGCACCAGGCCAGAAGGCAGTGCAGTGTGTTGAGGGCCTAGTGCCTGACCCTGGATCAGGAATGTATAGAAAACCATTACTTGTGCTGGAGAGAAAGAACAATGAATGGGCAGGGCCCCAGTTCGATCCCTCTCACCTATTCGGTTACAGCCCCAGCCAGTCCCACCAGAAGCTCTGAGCACTGGCAGATGTTCCGAAAAAACAAAATAAAAAACAAAATAAAAATCCAACATTTAAATTAAACAAAGTTCCTCTCTCCAGAATGTTTTTATATCTGGAAAGATGAACTTTGAAATTTATATGCATGTCTTTTTATTTATCCATAGCCTTTCGAAACGCCCATCTGGTCCAAAACCACCTTGCCAACCTGACAAGAGGGGTAGACTTTGACGAAGAACTCGTACTTGGGCTGGAGCGATAGCACAGCAGTAGGGCATTTGCCTTGCACACAGCCAACATGGCCGACCCAAGTTCGATTCCTCCGCCCCTCTCGGAGAGCCTGGCAAGCTACCGAGAGTATCTCGCTTGCACGGCAGAGCTTGGCAAGTTACCCGTGACGTATTCAATATGCCAAACACAGTAACAACAAGTCTCACGAAGGAGACGTTACTGGGCCCGCTCGAGCAAATCGATGAACAATGGGAGGACAGTGTTTTTGTTGTTGTCTTTTTATTTATTTATTTATTTTTGCATTTTGGGTCACACCCGTCGATGCACAGGAGTTTCTCCTGGTTCATGCACTCAGGAATTACTCCTGGCGGTGCTCGGGGGACCATCTGGGCTGCTGGGAATCGAACCCGGGTTGGGCTGCGTGCAAGGCAAACGCCTTACCTGCTGTGCTATTGCTCCAGTCCCTATATGCATGTCTTTAAGCTTAGATACGAAGGACTTTATACTCTATCCTGTTCTTGGCAGAGGTTTTCCTGGTTTCACTTATGTTGATGCCTTTGTCATACCATAATACTCAGGTCCCCATCAGTTTTTTACAGCTTTGTCACATGAAGCCGACTTAACCCACTTGAAATCGATAGACACTGAGATTGTTTTCAATTTTGTTGTAATGTTTCAGCAAACATCTTTATAGATTTTGGCATAGAATTTCTGAGCAATGGAATCACCAAGTCATAATTTCTGAGCAGTGGAATCACCAAGTTAATAGGATATATGCTGGATAACATTGGGTTGTCCTTGCTTCTCCCGCAGAGAGTTTAGGTTTATTGAGTCACTCCCACAACAGTGCCCCTGAGGCATACCCAATTCCATCCAGCACTAATAATAATCCTATATTGCTTTTTCTTTTTCCTTTATGTCACTTGTAGGGTTTAGCAGTGTCCTTTTTGTATAGACACAGGAAGACAGTTGGTGTTATGCTTTTGTAACATGGGAGTTAGTTGACTCCAAATAATATCTACTCCTGGGCATCCATTATATTTACTTGACTTAAGCCTCAGTCAGAGCTGGAGCGATAGCACAGCCGGTAGGGCGTTCGCCTTACAAGCGGCCAACATGGCCGACCCGAGTTCGATTCCTCCGCCCCTTTCGGAGAGCCCGGCAAGCTACCGAGAGTATTCGATATGCCAGACACAGTAACAACAAAGTCTCCAATGGAGACGTTACTGGGCCCGCTCGAGCAAATCGATGATCAGCGGGAGGGCCTTTACTTTACTTTACTTTTTAAGCCTCAGTCATGCCATGACCCCAAAAGAAGGACCCTGCTGGGGTTCGGAAAGACTAACCTGGTCTGAGCACTATAGTCTGGGATATATAGTGAGATGTCCCCAGGAAGAACCAGCTTTTTTTTTTTTTTTTTTGCTTCTTGGGTCACACCTGGTGATGCACAGGGGTTACTCCTGGCTTTGTACTCAGGAATCACTCCTGGCAGTGCTCAGGGGACCATATGAGATGCTGGGAATCGAGCCCAGGTCAGCTGCGTGCTAGGCGAACGCCCTACCCACTGTACTATCTATCATGCTAGCCCCAAGAGCCAACCTTTAAGCTTAATATATCTCTTACTGTGTTCATACAAAATGACTAGAAACATTAGAAGAAGTACAGTTACTATGATTGTTTAAACGGATTACTAGCTGAGGAAAGGAGAAAGCGATACACCCTGGATGGAATCCTGCCCTTGATAAGGACTATGAGGACGGGGGTGAGGGAACTCTGATGATGGGTACTATAACCAAAACTCTGACTGTGATTGTGCCATAAGGGGAGAGATCTGACTACGCTGGAGAGGGGAGAGAGAAATAAACTCCCAACCAGCCTGGGGCCCTGTTTCTCCGTTCGTTCCCCATCCTTTGTCCGTCTGTCGTCGTGGGCTGGCGAGAGAAATGGCTCTCGGCCACCAAATGCTCAAGTCTGTCATGCACCCACGCTTTCTTTTGCAAGACTCAGATGTGTACTTTTAAAATTTTGAAAGAGTGGCTGGAGTGATAGTAAGTGGGCAGGATGCTTGCTTTGCACGTAGCTAAGCCAGGGTCCATTCCCAGGACCAGGTACTGTCCTCTGAGCTGATCCCCTTGGCAGAGTCAGGTGTGGTCCAGAAGCAAACACCAAGAACAACAAAAAGATTTTTTTTTAACATTTTCAAATTTTCACTCAGATTAAATGAGGGTGGTTTTTATTCTGTTGGTAAAGGCATATAGCACAGCGTTTCACATGTTCCTGTTTGTTAATAATAACAAGCCTGCAGACGTAGTGTTTCTACTAAGTTAGTGGGTGAACTAGTTTTAAGAAAGAGAAATACGTACAGTTTTCTGAAGTACATTGTGCAGGGTTTGAAAGGTTTTGTGAGGCTGGCATTGTCTCTCATCCTCTTTTTATGTCTCACATTTAAGAGATGAAATTGGCCTGATCCCATGTCCTGAAGCAAGATATAACCGGAGTCCGATAGTTCTTGTGGAAAACAAACTCGGCGTGGAGAGCTGGTGTGTCAAGTTCCTCTTACCGTACGTCCACAACAAGCTCCTTTTGTACAGAACAAGAAAGCAGTGGCTGAACAAAGATGGTAAGTACGAACCGTCGGCCTCCTTTGGGTTGGAGAAGTAGTTTACACTCTGACAGGGGTGGGTACTCTCTCTGGGAGTTGCATTCCCGCATCCTGCTTCTGTATCTTTTCACTGACTGGGCCCTTGCAAAGCTCCCTGTCAAGTCGGGAATGTGGAGTATCTGTAGATTTCAGAATTTCATCCATAGTGATGCTTTATGGAGGCAGAAGGTAGGGGACACATTAGGCCACCTGTAGCCAGAGCAGTATTTTTTTTTCCCTTTATTTTATTTTTTTTTTTTACAGTTGTAAATTTACAATTTTTTGTGCTTTGGTTTCAATTATACAATGATCAGATACCCATCCCTCCACCAGTGCCCATTTTCCACCACCATGGATAATATCCCTCCCACCCCCATCCCCCCATCCCCCCTGTCTCTGTGGCAGGGCAATCCCCTGTGTTCTCTCTCTCCTTTTGGGTGTTGTGGTCTGCAAAAGAGGCATTGAGTGGCAAACATGTTCAGTCCATAGTCTACTTTCAACATGCATCTCCCCTCCTGGGAGGATCCTCCAAACACCCTTTATTTGGTGCTCCCTTCTCTGTCTGAGCTGCCCTTTCCTCTAGGATACCCGGCTGGCCTCTAAGTTATGGAGTAATCCTCCTGGTGCTGATCTCAGCTATTCTTGGGTATTAATCTCATACTTTGTTACTTTATATCCCCCAGATGAATGCAATCTTTCTATGTCTATCCCTCTCTTTCTGACTCATTTCGCTTAGCATGATACTTTCCATATTGTACCACTTGTATGTAAATTTCATGACTTCATCTTTTCTAACAGCTACATAGTACTCCATTGTGTAGATATACCAAAGTTTCTTTAACCAGTCATCTGTTCTTGGGCATTCAGGTTTCTTCCAGTTTCTGGCTATTGTAAAGAGTGCTGCAATGAACAAACAAGTCACTTCGACAATACATTTTTGCCTCTCTGGGATATATTCCCAGGAGTGGTATTGCTGGGTCAAATGGGAGCTCAATTTCTAATTTTTTGAGAATCGTCCATACTGTTTTCCAGAAGGGCTGAACCAGTGGACATTCCCACCAACAGTGAAGGAGTGTCCCTTTCTCGCCACATCCACACCAGCATCGGTTGCTTTTGTTCTTTTGAATGTGGGCCAGTCTCTGAGGTGTGAGATGGTATCTCATTGTGGTTTTGATCTGCATCTCCCTGATGATTAATGATGTAGAGCATTTTCTCATGTGCTTTTTTGCCATTCGGACTTCTTCTTTGAGAAAGTTTCTGTTCATTTCATTGCCCCATTTTTGGATGGGGTTGGGTGTTTTCTTCTTGTGGAGTTTAACCAGTATTTTGTATATCCTGGATATCAACCCCTTGTCAGATGTGTATTCGGTGAATATCCTTTCCCATTCTGTGGACTGTCTTTGTATTTTGGTCACTGTTTCTTTGGAGGTGCAGAAGCTTCTTAGTTTAAGATAGTCCCATTTATCTATCTCTGTTTTCACTTGCTCGGCCAGTGGCGTGGCATCTTTGAAGATACCATTAGCTTCAATGTCATGGAGGGTTTTGCCAACTTTATCTTCAATGTACCTTATGGTTTCTGGTCTGATGTTGAGGTCTTTAATCCATTTTGATCTTACTTTTGTACATGGTGTTAGGCAGAGTTCTGAGCCTATTTTTTTGCATATAGCCGTCCAGTGATGCCAACACAATTTATTAAAGAGGCTTTCCTTACTCCACTTCACATTACTTGCACCTTTATCAAAGATTAGATGAGCATATGATTGAGGGGAGATGTCAGTGTATTCAACCCTATTCCACTGGTCTGCAGTTCTGCCTTTGTTCCAGTACCATGCTGTTTTGATTATTACTGCTTTGTAGTACAGTTTGAAGTTCGGGAGGTTGATTCCTCCCATTTTCTTTTTCCCAAGAATTGCTTTAGCTATTCGTGGGGGCTTATTGTTCCATATAAATTTCAGGAGTGTTTGCTCCATTTCTTTGAAGAATGTCATGGGTATCCTTATAGGGATTGCATTGAATTTATACAATGCTTTTGGTAGTATTGCCATTTTGACAATGTTAAGTCTCCCGACCCATGAGCAGGGGATATCTTTCCATTTCCTCATGTTCTCTTTTATTTCCTGAAGTAGCGTTTTGTAGTTTTCTTCGTACAGGTCCTTTACTTCCTTCCTTAGTTAAGCTGATTCCTAGGTACTTGATTTTCTGGGGCACAATTGTGAACGGGATTGTTTTTTTCATGTTGCTTTCTTCTCTCTCACTGTTTGCGTATAGGAAAGCCATGAACTTTTGGGTATTGATTTTATAACCTGCAACTTTACTATACGAGTCTATTGTTTCTAGGAGTTTTTTGGTGGAAGTTATTGGGTTCTCTAAGTAGAGTATCATATCATCTGCGAATAGTGAGAGCTTGATTTCTTCCTTTCCTACCTGAATGCCCTTAATATCTTTTTCCTGCCTAATCGCTATTGCAAGTACTTCCAGTACTATATTGAACAGCAGTGGAGAGAGTGGGCATCCCTGTCTGGTCCCTGATCTTAGAGAGAAGGCGCTCAGTTTTTCCCCATTGAGGATGATCAGAGCAGTATTTTTAACTCTTTTGTATATAGGGACCATCTGTTAAGATTTTATTTGAAGCAAGTATCCTAAACAAACAAGCAAAACCAGTTTAGGTCACTGAATAGGCATCAGAGATAAAGGCAGGGGTTAGCATATACTTGCCTTGCATGTGGTTGTTCATGATTTGATCCTCAGAGCCAGGAACAGTCCCTGTGCACAACTGGGCATGCTCAGTGCTTCCCTGCCTCCTCTCTGCAGAGATCATTGACGTGAACCCTGGTCCCTCTAAACTCAGTTTCTCTGGTTCCTAGTCTGCTAGGACTTGAGGAGCCATAGAACTCCTTTCTGTAAGGGCATGTGAGGGAACAGAAGTGAAGTGTGGTGTTGGTAGTTATACGGTGGACCAGCTCTGTGATTTATGAGATAGCCACAGTCCTGCGAATCCAAACTTGAGCTCTGTCATTGTATGTCTGAAATGAGCAGAGAACATAATCATAATCACCTCTTTGGCTTCTCTGGGACAGTTCATTTCTGCGCCAGACATCCGACTTCCCACTTGGTCTCTCTCTGCTCTGGTTTTCTTCCTATGTTTGATGTTAGACCCCCAAGTTCTTTCTGCCTTTGGAGCGAAGGGAGACCTGAAGTCAGGTGTCTGGAGAGCACGTCTGCACATCCATGTTCTCCACTGTCTTCATAAATTTCCTCCCTGTCCCTTCCTTAGAGCAGTATCTTCAGAAGTGCTCAGTCTGTCTTTGAGTAATTCTGAATAACAACTTTGTTACCTAGAGAATTTTAATTACCACTTGGTGGCCATAACCAAGGGCCTACTCATCGCAGAAGCTGTTTTAAGTACTGTGGGGGATAACAAGATGAATAATACATGTTCTCTTTCCTTGTGAAGCTTAGACTTAAGCAAGAAATGATCTTTTCATGGAATATATTGTCACCAAAGGTTTTACATACAGGGGGCCAGGGGAATAGTACAGCAGGTTGGACACTTGCCCTGTATGTGGCTTTCATAGATTCAGTCCCCGGCACCCCATATGGTCCCATGAGCACCACCAAGAGTGATTCCTGAGTGCAGAGCCAGGAGTAACCCCTGTGCATCATTGGGTGTGACCCAAAAGCAAAACAACAACAAAGCTATCATTTTTTTGGTTTGTTTGTTTCTCATAGTGTTGCCCTTAGCATTTTGAAATAATTGGTATGTTGTAAAAAAAAAAAACTAGCACTTTTTCTTGCTAATGCTAGAAAAGGAGACTGATTTGAAGATTTTATGTAAAATAGTTTATTTTATTTATTTAGTTTTCCTTTTGGGTCACACCCGACAAGGCACAGGGGTTACTCCTGGCTTTGCACTCAGGAATTACTTCCGGCGGTGCTTGAAGAACCATATGGGATGCTGGGAATAGAACCCAAGGCAGAGGCCCTACACCCTACCCACTGTACTGTTGCTCCAGTTCATATATATCACAAGTAAATAATTGTATCACTGTCATCCTGTTGTTTGTCGATTGCCTCGAGCAAATATATATATATATATATATATATATGCATATATATTTTTTTTTAAGTAAGCTTTATTTATTTTGGCTTTTTGGATCACACTCAGAGATGCTCAGGGGTAACTCCTGGCTCTGCACTCAGGAATCACTCCTGGCGATGTTGGGGGTGGGTATGAGGGGGGAGGGACTGTATGGGACGCCAGGGATCCAACTCCAGTCAGCCGTGTGCAAGGCAAGCGTCCTACCTGCTGTACTATTGCTCTGGCCCCCAATAGTTTATATTTTGTGTGTGATTCTTTAAGAAGAAATCCCTCTTGGGGGCTGGAGAGATAATTCGCATTGAGTAGGTGTTTGCCTTGCACATGGCTGAGTCTTGTTTGATCCCCTGCACCCATATAATTCCCCAAGCTCTGCCAGAGTCACTCTTGAGTGGAGAGCCAGAAGTATCCTCTGAACATCACTGTTAGTGATTCAAAAAGCAAATCAATGGCTGCATGCAAGACATGCACCTTATCCAGTGTACTATCTCTCCAGACCTTAATCTACCTCTTTTTTTTGGGTAGAAGTACTGCTATTTATTCAGCCACTGATTAGCTGATTGAATTGTGCATGAACTCCACCTTTACTTTTTTTTTTCCCATTTTTTATAATTTAATTTATTGAATCACAGTGAGAGCAGTTACAAAGCTTTTGGGTCTAAGTCTCGGTCATACAATGAAACACCTGTACCTTCACCAGTGCCCATTCTCTACCACCAAACCCCACCCCCCCAAAAAAAAATCAAAATTAAAAAAAAAAATCTCTTAGAGGTATTTCTAAGGCTTTGCCCAAGATTATAGTGTAATAATTTGTGGCATAAACTTGGCAGTAGAGGGGTCAAAAAGACATTTAATAAAAGTATTATAGCACTGTTGGTAACACCGTCCTCCCGTTGTTCATCGATTTGCTTGAGCGGGTACCAGTGAGACTTGTTACTGTTTTTGTCATATCGAATACGCCACGGGGAGCTTGCCAGGCTCTGCCGTGCGGGGGCTCTCCGAGAGGGACGAAGGAATCGAACCTGAGTCGGCCTACCTGCTGTGCTTGTGCTCCAGCCCAATGAAAGTATTATGACTTTAAAATCTTTTTGTTAAAAAAAAAAATGTGTGTGTGTGTGTGTGTGTGTGTGTGTGTGTGTGTGTGTGTATTCATAGTCTTGTCAGAAAGCTGTCAGTTTCTAAGTAACCAATCATGCCCAAATCCTAGGAATGTATTCTTGGACTGGGGACATAGCCCAGAGGGCTTGTGTGCATGCCTGACACACAGGAGCTCCAAGCTGAGCCTCAACAGGACATAGTCCCCAGGCACTGCCAGGCCTAAATGGTGCCACATTACTGTCCTGGCACTGAAGAGTCAGCCCACCTCCCAGGAGAATGCATTCCTTGCAGGGAGGGCTCAAAGAGCCAAGCCCATGCGTGCCTTGCATACCTGTTCCTTCCCTCTAAGGACTGGCCAGGTGCACTCATCTGGAGTTGGGAAGGGAATGCTTCTGGGCAACCTAGCTCTTCTGGGTGTGGCCCCCTCGAGACAAGGATTCTCGAGGAGCCAGAGATAGGATCTCTGGGAATGGTTCAGTCCCTAACACCACAGGGGGGGAAAAAAGTGTTGTGTAACTTAGGTTGTGAGTTTCAAAAGAAAAGGCCTGCATGCAAGCTTTCGGTGGCCAGGAGCTGTTTCCCTGGCCAGCCCACAACATCGGACAGAAGGACCAGGGAGCGGAGAAACAGGGCCTCAGGCTGGTTGGTAGTCAGTTTATTTCTCTCCAGCGTAGTCAGAGATCTCCCCTTACAGCACAATCATAGTTGTGGTTTTGGTCGTAGTCCCAGTCACCATCGTTCCCTCATCCTAGTCCTCATAGTCCTTATTGTATAGTCCTAGTCCCCACTGTCCACTTACAGCATAGATATGTAGAAACCATCAAGGATGGGGGTGTACATAGGTGGGGTTGAACATTGTCATAACAACAAACAGAGATAAAGCCACTTTTTCAGGGGAAGCTCTAGGAGATTAACTCAAGGAAAAAAATCCCATCCGAGGGTTCAGCACTCCAGACTAGCTCAAGGGCTGGATTCCAACTAGGGTGTTTTGCTTTCTCCATTCCTCGGCTAGTAATCCATTTAAACAGTCATAGTAAATTTACTTCTAATATATCTAGTCATTTTGTATGAACACAGTAAGAGATACATATTAAACTTAAAGGTTGGCTCTTCCTGGGGACATCTCCCTATATATTCTAGACTATAATGCTCAGGCCAGTTTAGTGTTTCCTAACCCTAGCAGGGTCCTAGTCTTTTCTAACCCTAGCAGGGTCCTTATTCAGTTACTTCTTTTGGGGTGACGACAGAGTTTGTTCCATGACCAGGCTCTTAACTTATTATACTTCTTAGGGCGCTTAGCTGGTCTGTCCCCTTTTGATCCCAGGGTAGCTTACAGCTTGCCCTGGATCCATCCAGTCCCTTTGTCAGGACCCTCCTTTTGGGGGTGTTAGGAAGTAAAGGCAACTGATGCTTAAGTCAGGTAAATTTGATGGATGCCCAGGAGTAAATATTATTTTGGAGTCAATTGACTCCCATGTTACAAAAGCATAACATCTTCCTATGTGTGTACAAAAAGGACATTGCTAAACCATACAAATGACAGAATTCATCGATTAATCGATTGCCTCGAGCAGGCCCCAGTAACGTCTCTTTCATCCTAGCCCTGAGATTATATTCACAGCTCTTTAGGAGAATGAGACCCATCATTGTTACTGGTATTTGGCATATTTGGTACGCCACGGGGAGTTTGCCAGACTCTGCCCTGTGGGCAGGCTACATTCGATAGCCTGCAAGTTTGTCCAAAGTAGGAATGAGATAATAAGATGTCATAAAAAAAAAAGTTCTGTTAAGATGGTTCCGGGATCTGGATTTTATAGTCTCTGAGTCTTGGCCGCTGATGGGATTACACAGCGCCAGGGGGCCAGGTGGTGGGTGTGACCCCCGCCTACTGGAATTTGGAGGATCTGGGTGGAAGATGCTCGACTCCAATTCGAGTAGGCTTGGAGGTCTCGGCCCCGGAACCCGCGTGGTTTTGTCCCTCTGCCAGTACCTTCATGTGTGCGGAGAGTGGTCTCAGCATGGTGGTGGCTGGTCCTGGAGGTCTTCGGCTGCCGTAGCCCTGGCCGGGGCGGGGAGGAAAGCTCAACCCGCTCCCCTCCAAGGGACTCCGGGAAGGAACACCCAGGCGCAGGGGCAGAGACTGCACAGAGACTATAAAATCCAGATCCCGGACGAGAACAAATGACAGAAAGGAAAGAGAAAAGCAATAGGATTATTCGTGTTTGATGGAATTGGGTGTGCCTCAGGGGCACTGTTGTGGGAGTAACTCAATAAACCTAATTTCTGGGGCTGGAGCTATAGTACAGTGGGTAGGGCAATTTGCCTTGCACTGGCCAAGCTGGGTTTGATTCCCAGCATCCCATACTTTCCCCTGAGCACCGCCAGGGATAATTCCTGAGGACAGAGCTAGGAGTAACCCCTGTGCATCGCTAGGTGTGACCCAAAAAAGCAAAATAAGTAAGTAAGTAAATAAATAAATAAACCTAAGCTCTCTGCGGGAGGAGCAGTGTTATCCTACATGGGTGACCCTTATTCTTGATATAGATTTTTTTTCTTTTTAATCAAATTAAACTTATACTCTTTCACTATATGGATTACATCAATGCTTGGAAAGCGTATTTCAATATTAGGGTTCTTCTGGGAGACAAGTAGAAAACCATGTCTATAAGTATATGCGTATCCCAGCAGCCCTATTTACTCGGACTGATTTTTCCTACCCATGATGTGCATCTCAATATCCCACCAGGTGAGTAAGTGTATTAGTTCCGGAGACTGATCATTTTAAAAGTCGTGCTTGCTCCCTAGCCATGGTTGATTTGGGAAAGGAATGAGACTGTATTAATATATTACTACTGTAACTCTGAAGGTTGAGACATTTACACTTGAGCCTAAAACAAGAGAAACATCTCTGTGTTGGGGTCCTGCCTAGCAGCAGAATTTCATGCTCTGTCCTGGTGTGTGCGGGAGCTCCCACTCCCCACCCTTCCTCCTCCCCGCTGTTCCCAGACCGTATTGAGCTGTCGCTTCAGACCCCTTCCCTTTGCTATTTCTTCTCATCAGCCAAATGTATTCTTATAGCAGATTTTGCCTGGTTTGAATTCTGTCTTTGAAATGTCCATCATTATGATACCGAGTTGCTTCAAACTGCTCTCTAGCATCACTCGTAAAAGTAGAAACAAAGTTGCAGAAATGCTTTTTTGAAGATACTTTGTCTGTGTGTGCTGTAGCCTAGTGGCTAGAGGGCCTGGGAAGAATTTCACAGTCCTTTCCCAGCCTGCACTACGATCTTTCTCCTGTGCCTTAGAGAGTCTAGATTCTCCACCCCCCCGGATATATTTCATTTTGATGCCTGTAATTTTCTAATAGTTGTATTTGATTATAAGCAGCACGTTTGAAAAGAGGATGGAAGCCTCGATTTCTGTCTTAAGAAGCCCTGCTTGTATGTTTTTTTTAACTTTTTCCTTTGATGTGTAAGATTCTGATGGCAACAGTTGCTAATACTAGTAGCCTCTACTTTCTTTTTAGGTAACAAAACTAATCCAGTGTACTGCAGTCTCCCGTGTCCTTCAGAAAATTGAGGCAAGAGTGTCAGTTGTTACTTCTATTTATTTATTTATTTTTGCTTTTTGGGTCACACCCGGCAATGCACAGGGGTCACTCCTGGCTCATGCACTCAGGAATTACTCCTGGCGATGCTCGGGGGACCACACGGGATGCTGGGAATCGCACCCGGGTCGGTCACATGCAAGGCAAATGCCCTACCCACTGTGCTATCGCTCCAGCCCCAACTTTTAGTCTGCAGTTACTTGTGCTGCTTTTCTGACAGTCATCGAAAATCCAGAAGCATCTGAATTTTACAACCGTTTAGAATTTATTCCAGTCACGGCATGCCCCATTTCCCTTATTCGTGGGCTTTGTTCCCTTCTCTGCCTCTGTTGAGGCTAATCTTATTACCTTACTTTGTCACCGTTGTGCTGTAGTTGCCTGTACACAGGCACACACGTACCCTTCAAAGCCTCTCAGCTCCTGGAAGCAGTAATTGCTTCTCTCTCCTCCCATAGCGAACCTTTCTTTCGACTGCTAGCATCGGGCTACTTGCTCCTTCCCTTCAAGGGGGCTTTGATTTTACCGACCTTTTTCTTAGCTACATTGTTAGGCAGAGGGATATACCTATTGTTTCTTGACTGACCACCTTTCTGTTTCAACAGGCATCTGTCAAACAAGTAGCAAGAGGAGACTTCCATCCTCTTTTTATGTTTGTTTGCTTTGTTAATTTTATTTTTAGACCACACCCTTCAATGCTCAGCCATTAGTCCTGACTTTGCACTCAGGAATTACTCCTGGCAGTGTTTGAGGGATCGTACGGGATATCAGGGATCCAACCTGGGTCAGTCACGTGCAAGACCAGCCTCCTACCTGCTGCCCTACAAGTAATAAGAGCTGTCAAAGTTTTTAGCTAAGTCTCGCTTTTGATCCAGTGTCTGTATTCCGCCTTTCTGGTGTTCACTGCTCAAACTGCTCTTTGTGGTAGCTGGGCATGTGTTTTGGAGGGAGAGATTAACCACTCCAAATTCACCGAGGGTTTACTTCTAGAACCGTGAAAGTGTATTTCTAACAGAGGCAATTGTCAAACCCGGAAACTAATAATAGCTGAATTCTGACTTTTGACCATTTCAAGAATGCATCACAGCAGAGAAAGTTTGTTGATTTTCTCTTGACATCTCTGTAGCCTTCCCCTCTCCTTATTTCAGCTGGAACTTCACTAATTTCTTATGCCTAATAATATGCCTAGATTCTTTCTTTCCTTCTAATATGATAGTAATATACTGAAAAGTATGTAAGTCAGGACAGACATTTCTTGGTATAGGCTCTGCTGTTTGGAAAGATATCTGTTTAATTTCAAGAGATGGCAGAGATAGTGATGTTTGATGAAGTATGGAAAGCAAGGTATTTTTTGTCAACTATTGATTATTTGTTTTCATTTAGATTTTTGCTTCCTTCCTGATTTGAAGAGATCACTGTGCTAGAGTGGAAAGCGCATCTGTTTTTACAGGACAGATTTGTGTTTAGGTTCATCGGCACACTTAATGATGTGTGCTTAGTCAAATTATTTGGCAGTGACTTCGACTATATTATTTAACCTCTCAATTTCCATACAAAAGAAGGAAATTCTCATAGGTCTCTGAGGTTCCTCTCAGGGTTCAATGAATTAATGTATGTAGAACACCACCATCAGACTGGGGTGACATTACTTTTCTTTCTCTGATTTACTGAGATTTACCGAGATTTACCGAGATTCTCTGATTTACCGAGAGCCAGTAGGGCTGAAGCGATAGCACAGCGGTAGGGCATTTGCCTTGCACGCGGTTGACATGGCCGATCTGGGTTCGATTCCTCCACCCCTCTCGGAGAGCCCGGCAAGCTACCAAGAGTATCTCACCCGCACGGCAGAGCCTGGCAAGCTACCCGTGACGTACTCGATATGCCAAACACAGTAACAACAAGTCTCATGATGGAAACGTTACTGGGCCCACTCGAGCAAATCGATGAATGGGAGGACCGTGACCGTGACCAGTAGGGAAAACAGAGACAAATGTTATTCGCATCCAAAGATAATTGTCTTTGGGAGCTGGGAGTAGTACTTCCTAGCATGTTCCTCACCCAGAATTGGGGTGTGATTGCTGGCTTTAGATGATCCCTTAGGCATTGCTGGCTGCAGCCCTGGAGTCCCCAACACTGTGGGCTGTCTGGGTTTCTCTAGCACTGCAGGGCCTGAGGTGCATTGCATCCTTAGTCCCTTCACTGCACTGCCACCCAGTTGTCCAAGAATGACACTGTTCAGGCCCCCCAAATTGTCTTTCTTTTTTTTCTTTTTTTGCTTTTTGGGTCACATCTGGCGATGCTCAGGGGTTACTCCTGGCTTTGCACTCAGGAATTACTCCTGGCAGTGCTCAGGGAACCATATGGGATGCTGGGAATCGAACCCAGGTTGGCCGCATGCAAGGCATACACCCTACCCACTGTGCTATCACTCCAGCCCTAGTTTTAATGCCATCTGTTGTGTTTTTCTGTCATTGATCCTTTCCCATTTCTGACATTTTTCTTTATTTCCTTTTTTTGGGGGGTCTGACTGGAATGCTTTCCGAAGGAGGTTCCATCTGAAGTTGCATCCTAGTCCAGACCATTAAGACTGGCCAGTGAGGAAGGGCAGTGGAGTAAAGAGATCGCACAAGGTTCTTGCCCTGCATTGTGTTTATTATTTATTTTTAGTGTTTGGACCACACTCAGCAGTGCTCAGAACGTACTCCTGACTCTGCACTCAGAAATCACTCCTGGTAGTCTCGGGAGACCACATGGGGTGCTGGGGAATCTCCAGTCTAGGTCGGCCATGTATAAGGCAAGGGCCTTACCCACTGTACTATCTCTCTGGCCCCTACAAGTATTTTCTTATTGGTACTTAATAGCAATTAAGTTTTTGTTGTCATTGTTGTCAAACTGAGAAATTTAGAAATGTTGACAATTTCACTGCAATCAAGAGTTGTCTCTTTTCTGGCTTCTTGACTAATGTCAAGACCATTCGTTTCTTAGTGGCAAGATGTTTTGCTGACCAAATGGATGGCCTTGGTCATCACACTGAGGCTGAGGTCAGCCCCATTTCATAGATTAGGATACTGAAATTGAACGGCATTAAGTTCTATAGGCAGTGTGTATACATGCCGGGATTTTTTTTTTTTTGCCTTCTTGATTTTTTTTTTTATTCTTTTTGTTTGTTCTTAATTTTTATTAGTGAAACACCATGAGGTACAGTTGTAGACTTACAAATTTTTGTGCTTGGATTTTAGTCCAGGCTTTGCGACTAGATGCAAGACCAATGCTGTCATCACTCTTCTGTGCTGTTGGTAGGCATGGAACTTCTTTGAAGGAGGAGCCACAGGGAGGGAGGAATTTCAAGATGTATTAGAGAGGAAAAAAACTTACAGACTAATTAGGAGGATAATGTTGATGAAATATCACATACAGAGTGAGATTAAGAACGTAAAAAGATAAAAGATTGATTTCAAACAGGTATGTCAGGAAAAGCCTTTAATGAAGAAAGACATGTGTTTGATATTGTTAGCGATAGAAGGTTTTGCATTTCTTGCAGAGAGAATAATAGACAAGCCTGAGTCCAGAGAAGAGAAAATAGGTCAACAGTCATGTTTCAGAAGTGCTGGGATTTGGCTTGGTCAAGTGCAGCATGCAGACCTTGAGCAGGGAAAGGTCAGGCTGACGGGCTGTTGGGGACTGGCTTCTAGTTCTCTGCTAACACTTCTCCCTGCGCCCAGTGCTTTTTTAAAGTTGTAATAGTTAAATACATAATGACTATGAATGGGCTGTTTATCAGATGAACTAGAAGTGGTAAATAGTAATTAAAAATGAAATGAGGGGTATATTAAAATAATAAATTAAAGATATATGCAAAGATCAGAGAGAGAGTACAGTGGGTAAGATGCTTTTACTTGGTTGACCTGGGTTTAATCCCCTGCACTGTAGTAAGGTCTCCTAACACTGCCAGAAGTGACCCCTGAATACAGAGCTGTCACTCCTCACAGCCCCCAAAGTAGATAAACTCTTAGACTAACAGAATAAAATTGAGGCCCCAGAGATAAACTCCTCAGATTTATGTTAAATTTATGATAGAGGTCCATGAAGTGGGTCAAGGAAAGTTACTTCCACAAATGGTGGTAGGACCGGATAACTGCATGCAAAAAAATCAAATGGGATCACGCCGTTCACGAAGCTGAAATCAAAGAAGATGAAAGATCTTGAGGTTAGACCAGAATCCGGGAACTACATGGGGAAAAACAAAAACAGAATTCTTCAGGAGAGGAACCTCAGCGGTATCAATGATCTGGTTTTGTTGCCAAAGATAACATCCCAAACTAACAAATGGGACTGCATCATATTAAAAAAAAATTGAGCTGGAGCAGTAATACAGCAGGTAAGACACTTGTCTTACACACAGCTGACTCAAGTATAATCCCCGACACCCCATCTGGTCCCCCAAGTCCACCAGGAGAGATACCTGGGCCTAAAGCCAGGAGTGAGTCCTGAACATTACCAGGTGTCGCCCCCAAACCAAATGAGAAGTTTTTATATGGCATAAGCAACTGAGACTAAAATAGAAGATGCCCTATTAGTGAGTGAGAAAATATTCACTAATTAAAACACTTAAAAAGTTCAACAACAACAAAATAACCCCATCAAAAAATGGGGAGAGGAGATTAATATTTACTTAACTGAAAAGGACATATAAGTGGTAAGTAGGCATATGAAAGAGTGTTTGTTGTCACTTACTTGGGAAGTGGAAAATCAGAATGAGATAGCATCTCACAACAGTGAGAATGGAATATATCAGAAAAACTGGAAACAAGCAGTGTTTGCCAGGGCTGCAGTGAGAAAGCAGTGCCCCCACCCCCTCCCCACTGTTGTAGAGTGTTGTCTGGTCTAGCCTTTGTGGCAAACAGTATGCGGACATCCCAGAAAAGAATTGAGCTTCTTGGAATCTACCCTCCTCACTGTAATACCATTAATCAGAGAAGCTATACACACCCTCATGCTTGTTGCAGCACTTAGAACATTAACTGAGATGTGGTAACTAACCAAATGTCTTATGATCACTGTCACTGTCCTCCTGTTGTTCATCAGTTTGCTTGAGCGGGCCCAGTAATGTTTCCATCGTGACACTTGTTACTGTGTTTGGTTGGCATATCGAATATGGTCCTATGATAGAGAAAGACATTTTAGTGTACATGTACAATGGAATCCAGTGGCTGTAAGTAAAGGTGAAGAAGGAGAGTATCATGTTCATGGAGTGAGTTAGGGGGAAGACAAATGCTGGATGTTACATTACTACCTCTGGTGTGCAGGGAGGTAGAACAGGGCATGAAAGATGACAGGTGCTTGGATTACAGAACAGATCGCTGGCAGTGGGGGGTCTGAAGAGGCAGTGGGAAAATCAGCAGAGTAGGTGTAATGGGGACGTTGATGGAGGGTCTGAGGCATTTGGGTGGTGGTGAGGTGCAGTAAGCAAGCCATGATTGTTACCACAACTATAAACATGTTACCTAAGTGAAATAAAAAAGACTGAAAGGTAGTTTGATTATTCTTAATGGACATAGCATAAAGTTGTTTGAGCATCAGTTTTCAAGGATAATTATTTGAAGTAGAAGTACGTCTTTTAAAATTTTTTTGGTTTGAGGGTCACACCTGGCAATGCTCAGGACTCCTTACTCTGCACTCAAAGATGACTCTTGGGGGGGGGGGGGGTTAGGACATTATGGGATGTCAGGGATTGAGCCTGGGTTGGCCAGGTGCATGGCAAGTGCCTTGCCTTACCCATTGTACTATCTCTCTGGCCCAGAAATGGATACAAATCTTGGTAATCTTCATATCCTGACAGTTGAGAACAAGGTATCTCTCCTTTACATTATATGACATTGAAACTAGTATATTGTGAGTTTTAAATGTTATCTATCATATGCAAGTAGTTTATTTTGAGCAGTTTATGAAGATAAATTAAAAAGAAAGAGAAGGCAGACATTGACAGGGGGTGCAGTGTGGTTCTAATATGACCTTTCTTTATTTTAGAATTGATAGATGTCACATGTACGCTCTTGCTTCTCAACCCAGACTTTACCACTGCGTGGAATGTCAGGTACGTACATCATTCTCATCCATGAGGAATTAAAACTGTTTAAATTTCTGAAGATATGTAAGCCCTACCAACTGGTAACTTTTTGAAAAACTGAACTATAAACCACAGTACTGTGACATCTCTAACATTCTTTTCTTCTACCATTGTCTATGGTACCTTCCTGACCGTTGGAACATACACCCTGTCCCTTTGTTTATATATTCATCTGTTCTCTGTAAACTTCTCATCCTAAATGCTGATTTATAATATACCACGTAATCCATGCTTTTTCCCTTTATAGATTTGGATCGGGACAGTCAAATTAGCAAAATTATTTAACTCCCACATCGCTGGTTGATGTAGTTGAGAAGACCCCATAGTCCAATGGGAGGTGCAAAGTGAGGAACTTCTGTTCAATAATCAATACTGTGATCTCTGTCTGATCACTTGAAGCCTCCATCACTGAGCATTTTGGAGTGGGACCACATTTTATTAGTCCCGTATGTTTGTTACACCGCTTCATTCAAAATACTTCATAGAAATATTAAATTTCAGATCATTTAAATTGATTTTTTAAATTAAGCAATATGTACTGCTATTTAATTTGTGTCTTGAGCCAAATGAAGTCTATTAGAGAGATGCAGAATAAAAATTATAAATAAACAAAAAGTGAAGTCCCTTTCGCAGTATGAATACATTTAAAATTTTCTTATGGTAAAGAGAAAGGTTGTAACTTTTTATCTTTAACAGTATTTAATCTACATTTCTGTGTATTTTAAGTGAGGTTGCATTTCGAGTTAGTTTTCTAGAGTATAGTACCTAAAGTTTGTATTTGTGACTAATTTTTAAAAAAATTTTAATAACCATTATTTGGCTTTTTAAAATGATCTTATGAATAATTGGATACTTCAAATAAAGAATAAGAAATGTATGGAATAAATTAACATAATATTAATATAATTTATCAATAATAAATTTAGCACCATATTTATTACTCTATTAATAAATTTATTGATTTATCATTAATAAATTAATAAATTCAAATTTTCCCATCATTTTAAAATTTAATGCTTTCTTTAATGGAAATATCACGGTGGCTTGGGAATCCTCAGAGGCTTATGAATGGCTGCCATATTTCAGGGGTTATACTACAGCTTTGTATGTTACCTCTTTGGTCCACGCAACACCTAATAACCTTTACTCCTTCACTCAATATTAACTGCGATGTGCTAGAATCTAGGCACTGGAAGTAGAGCCATGAACAAAGCTAGTCTTGTGGATTTTTTTCTTTCTAGTCGAGAAAGGCTACAAAGCATTGTTAAAAAATAGTAGTAAAAGGTGGGTATACATATCACGGAGAAAAAAAGGGAAGAGAACATAGAAAAGAACGGAAAGGATAGGAAGAGGGGAATTGCTTTTTCAACAGGGAACGTTTGAGCAAGAGCTGACATGACTTTGGGGGTTCACTCTGGGGTGTGGATTAAGAGCTTTCTGGGTCGAGGAAGCTGCAAGTAGAAAAGCTTCCGGTCATGCCTACCGTGTCCTAGTGAAGGAAAGCGGTGTTTCAGATGGATGAGAGAGAATAACAAGAGATAAGACTAGAGGGTAATGGGCTAGATCTCATAGGACTTTATAGATCTTCATAAGCTGCTGTCAGGCTTTGACTTTTTCTCTGAGAGGGAGTCATTGAACAGTTTCTAGCTGAGGAGTATTGTACGTAGATTTCTGAACCTCTGACTTCTAACGAAAAGTCGATTGTAGGAGAGCAGGGAGTACACATGAAGCTAGGAAAGAGTTGAAATTATGGAAACTTGAAGTAGCGCTCAGCTCAGCAGTTGAAGGAGACGCTTAGTGTATTACATCAACTGTAAGCCTTGGCTCTGTTTATAAACCAGTGTCAAAGATATATGTGTGAGTTGGGTGAGAGAGAAAGAAAAAGGTCAAGCTTGACTGGTTTTTGACTTGAGTCTCTCCAAAAGAATGGGTTTCCATTTGCTGAAATGAAGGTGTTTGGGAGAGAGACAGAGTAAAACGGAGAAAGCTGGTTGGGGGTCTGGAGCTTACTTTGGACTATTTCAGAATTGGATCTTACTAGTTGTATAAATCCAGAGTTCAAGGAAGAGTCCTGGGTCATCTATAAATTGGGATTCACTAGAATATGGATGGTATTTAAAATTGTGCGTTGGCTTAAGATCCCCAAAGGAGTATGTATAGATACAAGAACCAAAGACTGAACACTGGGACACTAGACAGTTCTAGACTTGCACCAGCTAGTGTAGTAGTCACTGGTACACATAGCTATTGTGCCCTTGAAATGTGATGTGTATCTATTGAGAATTGATAATTGATCACAGTAAGGTAAGGCTGACACATCATATTTCAGAGACTACCCAAAAAAAAGTAAACCTCAGTACTGTTAATATGTTAACATTTTGGACATTATTGAAATAAATATGTTTATACTTGCTTTGATGTAGCTATTTGAAAATTTAAAATTATGTACATGGCTCACGTTTATGACTTTCATTCTATTTCTGTTGGACAGAAGAATCAGCAAAGGAAACTTAGGAAGGTACTATCATTTACAACTGAGAGGGTAGGAAGTTTTTAAGGAGAGGAACTTTTCCCTACCTTTGTTTTCTTGGTATCTGACTCTAGTGATTGGCACCTAATAGATAACTTAGTTTGCAAACTGAAAACTGGAAATCATTTCGTTTTGTGAAAAAAGAAATCAGTTAATAGAGAAGTGGGAGTATCATTTTCATTCATGTTTTCATATTCCTCATCATTACAGATAATTGAAGGTTCTTTAACAAAAAGAGATTCTTGGGACTGGAATGTGTCTCAGCACTTGAACACTTGCCTTGAGATTCTGATCCAGTTCCTGACACCTAACGGAAAAGAATTTTTCAAAAGGGTCAGCATGATAGTCCAGTGGGTTAGGCACCTTGTTTTCCATGTGACTGACCTGGATTTGATCCCTGGCATTCTATATGGTCCCTAAACCCTGCTAGGAGTGATCCGTGAATGCAGAGCCAGGGGTAAGTCCTGAGCACTGCTGGGTGTGACCCAAAAATGAAACAGAAGAGAGAGTAATCCTGGGTCTGTGAGCTAGTTAATAAATATTGTAGAGCACATGCATAAGGGTGTATTAGACCCCCAGGTTTGGTCCCTAGCACTGTATATGATCCCCTGAGCACCACTGGGTGTAGTCCTCATGACTCTTGGGTAGTGTCAAATGCGGCCACTGAGAAAATCCTCTGGAATCTGCTCTAGTAATTTTTACTTTGATTTAATGAAATTTGGTTGACACAGCTTCAGTGGGATAGGTTCATGAGTACATTTACAGATGAAAAATGGGGACTTTGAAAATTAACTGATCTAAACCTTACAAAGATTCTTGCAGATCAAATGTTCAACACCTTCTGTCTTATATATATATTCTCCAGCAATTCTGGAAACCATTGAGTAACTTTCAATTGCATTTTATAAACTGTTGATGATGGCACAATACATGAGTACTTAAAATTATTTGTGTTGCAGGCAGGAAAAATAGGACAAGAAAAAGTTTTTAAGTTGATCTGTGATTGCAGTAAGCATTGCAAGCAGTTTAAAATTTCAGTATTAAAAAAAAAAAACTAGTTCTTTTTGCATTGAATTTGCTTTGAAAGTTGCTAAGTCTTTTGATGAAAGGGGTTGACTTTATAATAACATTCTATTTTTCATTGGCTATGAATGCTAAGTAAAATATCTTTGAGTAATTAGAAGACCTGGCAGCAAGTTCAGGTGATTCTTGTCCATTTCTCGTAGCAGAATTTATGATAGTGGTCCTGACACTTTGAACTCAGAGATCTTGAGTAGGTAATTGAATTTCTCTGAACTTCAGTTTTCTTCGTTTGTAAAATTAAGAGATGTTTAGGTTCAGCCATATAAAATTGTATAGATCAAAAATGAACTGGGTTCTGGAAATTCCTTGGTTTTGGTGTCTAGCACCATTCTTTAGTAAGAGGATTAGACTTTTGGGAAAATTGTTGATTCTAGGGCCAGCACAGGAAATATTCAGGACGAGCCCGTAAAGTTTGGATGTGTAAGAAGAGGGCTTCTAGTGGCATATTTCAAAGGCATGGAAGAGCCGATTGAAAGCAATAAGATAACATGATATTGGCTTGTGTCACCAAGTGGGAAAATGATTATCGGTAAGTCCATACTGACTGACACAAATATATGGCTAAATAAATAAACTATAGGTAAATTTCCCTTAAGGGGAAAAAAAATCCAAATAGTTGATCTAGAAAGATAACCCTTCTTAAAGAGGGATTAGCTTTCCATGCAATAAGTGTGACTTTCCTCCCAAAAGTAGAGTAGAGAAATCTGTGACGTATTACTCCTTCAGCTAGTCAATCAAAGCCAACATCAATGGTGATATTATCTTGATAATATATCTCCCTGATATGACATAGTGAAAATGATGCTTAAAATCTCTTCCTCCCAAAAACTCAGCCTAACCATGAGGAAAACAAACATACATGCCTACAAAATGCATCCTCAGTACTCATCAAAAGTTGTCTGACCATCCAAAAAAAAAAAAAAAGGTGTGTGGAGGGCACAAGAGGTCCTCAAGGAAACATTAGAAATGTTATGTTATGTCCTGGGCAATGCCAGGAATAGAAAAGGGACTTTTGGTAAAAACTAAGGAATTCTGAGTGAAGTATAACTTTAAATAATAATGACATAACTGTTGATATATCAGTTGTCGAAGATGTACCATAATAATATAAGATGTCGGTAATAAAAGGAACTGGGTACTTGGTACCTGGGAATTCTGTTGTTCTTAAAACTTTTATTTAAATTTGAAATGATTTTAAAATGAAACTTGTAAAAGGAAAATGGAATGTCAGCAATTTCATGTGGTTTAACATAATACAGGATTGTTGGGAAAATTAAGTTAGTTAACATAAGCCACTTAAAAGGTCTTAAATTTCAGCAAAATTACTGATAGTTATTTGACTAATTAAAATGTTGATTTGTAAGGTTATATAGAACCATGGCGACCATCCTGTTATTCGTCGATTGCCTCGAGCAGGCCCCAGTAACGTCTCCTTCATCCTAGCCCTGAGATTTTTAAGGAAGTGCTGTATTCAAGGCTCTTTAGGAGAATGAGACCCATCATTGTTACTGGTATTTGGCATATTGGGTACGCCACGGGGAGTTTGCCAGACTCTGCCGTGTGGGCAGGCTATATTCAGTAGCCTGCCAGTTTGTCCAGAGTAGGAATGAGATAATAAGATGTCCGAGAGCTGGGTTTTATAGTCTCTGGGTCTTGGCCGTTGATGGGATTACACGGCGCCAGGGGGCCAGTTGGTGGGTGTGACCCCCGCCTACTGGAATTCGGAGGATCTGGGTGGAGGATGCTCAGCCCAGGATGCTCAGCCCCGATCTGAGTAGGCTTGAAGATCTCAGCCCCAGGACCCACATGCCTTTGTTCCTCTGCCAGTACCTTCATGTGTGCGGAGAGTGGTCTCAGCATGGTGGTGGCATGGCCCATAAATTTTTTAAGAACACAATGTAAGATTTTGTTAAAACTTTTGGGGAAAGAGGGGCTGGAGCAATAGCACAGCGGGTAGGGCATTTGCCTTGCACGTGGCTGACCCGGGTTCAATTTCCAGCATCCCATATGGTCCACCGAGCACCGCCAGGAGTAATTCCTGAGAGTGTGAGCCAGTAGTAACCCCTGTGCATCGCCGAGTGTGACCCAAAAAGAAAAGAAAAAAAAAACTTATGGGGAAAGATAGAAGGTAAAGGGGCAATAAAATGCATTTGCATATTAGAAAAGACAGAAGTGAAAATCTAAAAATACAAGAAAATTTGTTTTGGGTAGTGATTACTTTTCCCCTTTTATCCAAATCATAGTTGTATTTTTAGTTGTCGCCTGTGCATTTTGTATCAGGTCCCCGTAGGAAACTAGAGCTTGTCTTTTTTTTGTTTTTTCTGGCTTTTTGGGTCACACCCAGTGATGCACACCCAGGGATTGTTCCTGTCTCTGCACTCAGGAATCGCTCCTGGCGGTACTTGGGGGACCATATGGGATGCCAGGGATTGAGCCCGGGTCGGCGCATGCAGGGCAAACACCCTACCCACTGTACTATCGCTCCAGCCCCTAGAGCTTGTCTTAATGTTGGAGGATCTGCCCTGGTATGTTTTGGAACAAGACAAACCATGGAAACCCTTTGACCCACTCCTCAATAGGAAACGGATATTCCACTGTTGGTTAGGGGCTTCTGCTTCTACTTCTGCTTATTATCTTTTCAGTATTATGAGAATAAATTCTTGATTGCTATGCGTGATGTATATTAATGCTTTAAAAATTTTAATGAAGATTCATTTCATGATGAAGTTATATTAATAGCCAAACATTATGTTTGGAGAGAAAGAATGATTCATTTTATTTATTTACTGAATCACTGTGAATTACAAAGTAACGAAGATTATTTCATTTTTAATTTTTAATTTTCAGGAAAGAACTTATTCTCTCTGGCACTTTAAATCCAATTAAGGACCTGCATCTGGGGAAATTGGCCTTAACTAAGTTTCCAAAGAGTCCAGAAACGTGGATTCACAGGTATGGTTAATTTAGGCCGGAGGCTTCTTAGAATTCTTAAGGCCAGGGGAGTAGAATAATGAATGTAAACCAGTGACATTTGGTTCATAGAGTAAATTAGTCAGCTCACCTATTTTAAACTTCGGTGATTCTGTGTGTTCACCAACAATTATTAAATCTCTTGAGGCCTTCATTTTCTCATTTACAAAATGAAATATATCATGAATAAGTAGGTGTAATAAATAATTACATAAAATTAATAATTAAATAAATAAAAATAATTTGAGTTAAAGTGGATGTGAAATAATGTTTGCAGGCTCTATCTACAGTAGTGACTGGCACATAGTAAATACTCAATAAACATTAGGTATTATTAATTAATAACTATTTGAACAGGCCTATAGATTATAGTTAGACATTTGGGCATAGTGAGAAACGTGGATTTTATAAAGCATTTAGCTGTGTTCCTGGTAAAGACGGCAGGTACTGATGGTGGTGGTTATTAAAAGGAACCCTATTTAAAAAAATAAATAAAGGCTGCTAAGGTGGAATGATGTGTAGTCTGGGCTGAAGTTACTGAAACCATAAATGCACAGTATATTTTTAGGTTAGAGGCCTGAGGCAGACAGTCAAAAATAAATGCAAATTTTTCAAAACACTATCTGAAGTCCTCCTCTTTCCAGTCTCTCTCACAGATTTGTTTCGACTTAATTGAGGTGATGGGGACTTACTGGTTGGGAGCAGTGAGGAAGTTCTCTGGAGAAGTCTGCTCTCAGTAGAATTATTACCACCTTACAACTTACTGAGCGTTTTTAGGATCTTAAAGTCAATTCAAAGTGTCTTAGTTGTAAGTTCGCCTTTGGCTCCGTATTGGAGATCAGCTGCTTTCCAACCACATAATTGTTTGTAATTTCCTTCCTTTGGGATGGCACTCTCCAAAGAGCTCTGTGATAGGATGGTGGCAGGGGAGATAATTATTTTTTTTTTTATTTTTGTTAGTGAAACACCACGAGGTACAGTTGTAGACTTGGAAATTTTTGTGCTTGGGTTTTAATTATACAATGATCAAGTACCCATCCCTCCACCGGTGCCCATTTTCCACCACCACGGGTCCCAGTATCCCTCCCACCCCCTATCATCCCCCCACGCCTTGTCCTGCCCTGCCTCTGTGGCAGGGCATTCCCTTTTGTTCTCTCTCTCCTTTTGGGTGTTGTGGTTTGCAAAAGAGGCAGTGGATGACAATCATGTTTGGTTTATAGCCTACTTTCAGCATGCTTCTCCTATCCTGGGAGGATCCTCCCGACACCCTTTATTTGGTGCTCCCTTCTCTCTCTGAGCTGCCTTTTCCCCTAGCATGTGTGGCTGGCCTCAAAGCCATGGAGTGAGCCTCCTAGTGCTTATCTCGGCTATTCTTGGGTGTTAGTCTCCTATTTTGTTTCTTTATGTTTGGGGGAGGTAATTATTAAAGATGCCTCCATGAATTTATTGTCTAGTCTAATAGTTAATGGATTTTATAAACAATGATGTAAACAATGATTTTATAAACAATGATATAAACCAGTAACAATGATGGTTCTCATTCTCCTAAAGAGCCGTGAATATAATCTCAGGGCTAGGATGAAAGAGACGTTACTGGGGCCTGCTCGAGGCAATCGACGATTAACAGGATGATGAAATGAAATGAAAATAGTTAATAAGGCAAGATTTTGTTGTTCAGTAAAAAACTGTTAGGTGAAAATAATAAAATGAATTTTCTTCATTTCTTGTATCTTCAGGCTTGGAATTTTGTCTTAAAAGATGCTTTACTGTAAAAAAAAAAGAAAAGTAAAAACCAAAGACATTAAGTGTTTAGAAACACTTTTTTACATTTCATTTACATAAATGCTAATGAAAATCTTAAATAGACCAGGGGGAAATTTGCAGATAAAGTCTGCAAATTTTAAATTTTAAAGTCTTCTTGGTATTTTTATCTGATTATACTGTTTGTTTCCTTCTATATTCTGTGCTGTAATGTTGAAATTTTGCTTAATGAAAGCTGTCATGATGCAGTTTCTTTTTTTGCAAACAACTATACATAGGGTAAGGCATGTAGATATTAAAAAGTGAACTAATAAACTGTGAGTCCACTAGTATTTACCAGCCAGTAATACATACTGCCTTCTCCTCTCTCCCCTGACACACACACACACACACACACACACACACACACACACACACATACACACACACACCAGCTGACTTCTTTCTCCTTCTCTTAGTTGACTTTGCAGGGACCAGTGTTGCTCCCAAGCTTGGCTGTGGGCTCACATTTTCAGATGTGCTCACCAGAGATTCTGTGCCTTGAGTCACACATGTGTTCACCAGAACTCACACACATGCTTTGTTGCCTCCCGGCCATCTTTGTCCCTAAGCTTTACAGTGTGGTGCCTTTCAGTTGTGCTGCCTGCAGAGAGCTGACTGGTGCAGCTGGACGTCCCTTGTGCTGGGGATCTCCAAGCAGGCTGCCAGGATAAGGTCTGTGCATACTGCAGAACTGGCGGTCGATTTGCAGCCTTGTGCTTACTAGGGGATTTGAGCTACAGAGCCATCTCCCAGTCCCCAGCAGGCCAGCGGCCTTTACAGGTTTTTGCCGAATGCAGTTTAAGAGTTTCATTTTTGTGGAATGATGGCCATTCTCCTTTGGACAGATTTTAAAGTTTTAGAAAGACGTAACACCCCCCCCCCACCACCACCCCTTGTCTTCTTTCTCCCCTGTCAGCCCAGTTTCTAAATGAAATGAATTTTAAAAACAGCAGAACAGAGGCCAGAGAGATAGTTTAGCAGATAAGGCACTTGCCTTACATGGGACCAACCTAAGTTAGATCTCCAGCATCCCATATGGTCCCCCAAGCACTGCCTGGAGTGATTCTGAGTACAGAGCCAGGGGTATAACCTGAACATTGCTCCGTGTGACCCCGAAACCAAGAAAACTAAATAAAAACAACAAAACAGGATCTCTGAGAGAAACACTACAGAAAAGGTGCTTGCTATGCCTGCATGCAAACCAAGGTTTGATCCCCAGCATAATATGTGGTTCCCCAAAACCCACCAGATCCTTAATTGCATAGACAGGAGGAAACCCTGAGCACTGCTGAGTGTGACCCCCATCCCAAAGAAGACCCAAAGCAATCAAACAGAAACAGGACCAGGAGAGAGTTCAAGCAGTAGAGCACCTGCCAAGTATTTGAGAGGAAATAGGTTAGATCCTCGGGACCACCTAGTGCTTCCAGGCACTGCAGGTATGGCCCTGATTGTTCCCAAGCACCAGGCATCAAACCATCAGGCTCTCATGCATCTCCAGGGGCCAGACCATCAGGCCACACCTGCAGGGGTCAGACCACCGGGCCCACACCTCTGGGGGTCAGATCATCAGGCCCCCGTCTCCGGGAGCTTCAGCCATCAGGCCCACACCTCCAGACGTTAAACATCAGGGCCACACTTCCGGGGCTGAATGCTTGTAGAACAGTTAGACAGCAAGCAGGAATATAGGTATGGCTCAGCAGTCAAGCATATGTCTCACGCGTGAGGCCCTGGGGTTGATCCTTGCACCGCAAAGCAAACAGAAAACCAGCACGAAAATATCGCCACCCCCAGCTGGTCTAGAAAGAAACGCCCCACGCTGGACTTATTGACAGGTGCTGTATTACAGTGTCTGTGAGTGGAAATTAAATTCAAAGCAAAGGAAACTGGTTTTTTTTTTTTCCTGGTTCATGTTCTTCCTTCATTCTTTCTCCATATGCTGCCCTGACAGGCGATGGGTGCTACAACAGCTGATTCAGGAAACCTCCTCGCCTGCCTTTATAAGCAAAGGAAACTTGGGGACCGTTCCTGCAGAAAGGACACAGCGACTCATACAAGAAGAGATGGAGGTCTGTGGGGAAGCAGCGGGGAGATACCCAAGCAATTACAATGCCTGGTCCCACCGCATCTGGGTTTTGCAACACCTGGCCAAATTGGACGTCAAGGTAGGGCTCTTCCTCCTTCTCCCTTAGGACATTTCTTTGCCCCTTCGATTCTGTAGTTCCTGTTGAGAGGAGCTTTTCTGCAAAAGCAGAAGAATGGGCAGGCCAGCAGCCAGGAGAGGGTCATGATGCCTGAAACCTTCAGGGGAGGAGACTGCTAATTAAAAATGTATTTCTGGGCTGGAGCAATAGCATAGCGGGTAGGGCGTTTGCCTTGCACGTGGCCGACCCGGGTTTGATTCTCAGTATCCCATATGGTCCCCTGAGCACTGCCAGGGGTGATTCCTGAGCGCAGAGCCAGGAGTAGTAACCCCTGTGCATTGCCGGGTGTGACCCAAAAAGCAAAAAAGAAAAAATGTATTTCCCCTGGGTCTGGTTTTTGACATTCCTAGATCTAGAACAGTGGTACAGCCAACTCGGGTTTGACTAGTACGGAGTACTGAGATTGGTCAGCCGTAGAGAACTGAAACTCTTCTTGCTTGGTGGTCTAGGGTTGGAGCAAAATTAGTTACGCACCTTCTCAGGGTTTTCTTTCATGGGGCGGAATCAGGAGATTTCACCCTGGTGCTTCTAAACTTCGCTGAGTCTAAGATACCCGGGGATTTCTAAGTCTTACCTGAGGCTTACAAAATGAGGGTAGGATTTTGGATACCAAGATTTTCTTCTGACTCAGAGATACTGGATATGGAAACTGGCTGGAAAATTTTTAGTTTAGAAATGAGATGGAAGTTTCTAGTCAGTAAGTTTTAATGGCTTATACGTAGCCTCAGTTATACTTACTATTATTTATCAGAGTAAGAATCAAGGAGCTTTTTTTTTTTCTTTTTGTTGGGTCATACCTGGTGATGCTCAGGGGTAACTCCTGGCTCTGCACTCAGGAATCACTACAGGGGTTGCTTGAAGACCTTATGGGATAATGGGATCCCAAACAGGCTGGCCATATTCAAGGCAAGTGCTCTCCCCTCTGTATTGTCTCTCTAGCCTCAAGCTTCTCTTTTTCCTTCATTTTGGTATTGCAGTACCGTAAGAATTAAGTTCTCTTTTGGAATGGGAGTGTGCCGTTGGGAACATCCATTGGTGCTCAGGGCTTACTCCTGGCCCTGCTCAGGGATCACTCCTGGTAGTGCTGGGGGAGGGGAGGGCAGGAAGAGAAGGGTGGCATATGCAATGCCAGGGATCAGTCCAGGGGCAGCCACTTACTAAGCAAGTGCCGTACCAGCTGTAGACTCTCCACTTTCCGAGGGTGCTCTTTGGAACAGCATCCCAAGCTTTCGATAATGTGAAAATGCCTCAAGTGCTGCATTACTGGAAATAATGGGAAGTGATGCCTAATTGGGAAAACTTTTTTTTAAAAAAAATGTATTTTTTGGCTTTTTTGAGTCATACCCAGCGATGCTCAGGGATTCCTCCGGACTCTGCTTTCAGGAATCCCTCCCGGCAGTGCTCAGGGGACCATATGGGATGAACTATTGCTCCAGCACCCCCCAACCCCCAGAAAAACTCTTTTAAACAACCCCTTTATGCATAATTGTCCCCCCATCCCACCCTCCACACTCCTCCACCAAAAAGTGAAATTTTATAATCTCAGAGAAGGGCAGAACAGCAACGTTTATCATATACTTCACCAAAGCAAAATGAAAAGGAAGATTAAAAAAAGAAAGAAAGAAAGAAAGAAAGAAAGAAAGAAAGAAAGAAAGAAAGAAAGAAAAAGCACCAAAAATCCTATGATTTGTTTTCTGGTGTGAGGAGATATTTGGGCCACAGTTGGCAGTGCTCAGGGGCTCTTCCTGGCTCCCTTGCTTTAGGGGTTGCTCCCAGCTGGGCTCAGACCCTCGGCGGCCAGGGAGTCGACCTGAGACTCCCACTTGCTGAGCATGTGCTCCGGCCAGTTTGTGAAGAAGCAGTATGAAGTGTAGCAATTATTGGTAATAACTAGCAGTGCAATAATTAGTAGCTTCCCACCTAGAGGTCTAATTTGAATCTTGACTACCACCAATATAGTGTGTGGCCCTGAGGAAGTGTCTAAGTCTTTCTCACCTTCCGTGTCCTTACCCATAAAATGGGGATGGTAATTCCTACATTCCTGAGTGATGTCGGTTAAATGTATGACTCCACATGGAAAGTGTCTTCTCACGTCCATACTTTTTTCTAAGTACTCACTCAGTGAACTTTGTTTGTGGGCCAGGAGATTGCCTCGCAAGTAGGAAACATGTTGGAGCCAGGTTTGATTCTTGGCATCACATGTACACCCTGCGCTTCAGTACGTCCTTGGGCCTGTGGGTTGAATTGTGGTCCCGTGGCCTAAGGTTTGCTGGTGGGGTCCCCAAGTCATCTGAGTATTCTTCTGGAGTTACACAAAACCGCTGGTCATTATAAAATTGATAGATAAAATAGTGTCTATTGATTGAGTAGTTTAGTCTAACGAGCCAATCACTTATATACCAGTTCATCATAAATTAAGACATTCTATTGCTCCAAAAAGTATGTTAGATTATTTAGAGGAAAATGTTCATGATAAAGATAAAAAATGATATAGTGTTGTACATATTACGCTGAATAAGATTTTGAGTCTTTCTGAATGGTGTCTGCCACATAGTAAACACATAACACACACACATTTGTAGTAATAGTATGGATATGGTTTTTTGTATTCCCTGTAATATGCATTTATTTGGTTTAGTCATTAAAAAATGGAGGATAAAGAGTATGCAACAGTGGGGCTGGAGCGATAGCACAGCGGGTAGGGCATTTGCCTTGCACGTGGCTGACCTGGGTTCGATTCCCAGCATCTCATATGGTCCCCTGAGCACCGCCAGGAGTAATTCCTGAGTGCAGAGCCAGGAGTAACCCCTGTGTAGTGCTGGGTATGACCCAAAAAAAGCAAAAAAAAAAAAAATATATATATATATATTTGCATGCAACAGTACTTTGTGTAGAATTGCAATAGACTTTTTAAAATTTTTCCTAAAGTGTTTGTATATTTAAGTGAACATATATTTAAGTTAATTTTTAAAGGTTCTCATGTTTTGTGAGGGAAGAAAGATTCACTGTTGGGGACAGTTTATTATATTACCATCCAATTTAAATTGATGCATTGTATGGCCTGAGCTAGCATTACAGGATCATATTCATAGGCGATGTACAAATGGCAAAGAAGATGTACAAATGAAGAGATAGTTTTTAAGAGTATCACTTATCTTGGGGCCAAAGTGATTGTATAGTGGGTAGGGCACCCCATGTGGTCCCCTCAGCACCACTACTTGTGGCCCCCCAAAGAACAAAAAGGCGTGTTTGCTTATCAAGAGTGGAGGTAAAATTAAGTTATGGTGAGATTTTGATGGTCTTTAAGATGAAATATGTAGAAGGTAGAAATGCCATAGAATATTTTTAAATTACAGGAGGAATAGGCTTCTTATTTAAGTGAAATAAAATCAATATACAACTATCCCACAGGCTTGCTTTTCAAGGCAAGCCTGGAAATTCAACTTTTCAATGTTCTCCCTAAATTCTTATCTCTTGCTTATCTCAGAGTTTCTGTCTGGTTTTTTTTTTCTACTCTACAGAAGTCTGTATACTCTCTTGAACACATATTCCTTTGTCTCTCCTCTCACAGTTTCTAAGTAAGTTTCTTTCAGTACAAACTATTTTGCTTCATTAAAAAAAATGAATAAATAAAAGCATCCCATGTTTGAGTTGACAGTTTACTGCATATATGTGCATTGAAAAAAGACAGCCTGGTTGTCCATCGGAACATTGAGTATTTATCTCTGAAGAATGGCCTACTATTTGGTAATTTTTGCTATTTTATTATATATATTACACATATTCTAGTTTGGGAGCTACAACCAACTGTGCTCAGGGCTTACTCCTAGCTCTGCATTCAGGGATCACTCCTGATAGGGCTGGGAATACCATATGAGGTGCCAGGAATAGAATCCAGTTTGACCATGTGCAAGGCAAGCACCTTCCCCACTGTAATATCTCTCTGACCCGTATATTGATAGATATTTAAAACTTCCTCGGGGCTGGAGCGATAGCACAGCAGGTAGGGCGTTTGCCTTGCACGCGGCCGACACGGGTTGGATTCCCAGCATCCCATAGGGTCCCCTGAGCACCGCCAGGAGTAACTCCTGAGTGCAGAGCCAGGAATAACCCCCGTGCATCGCCAGGTGTGACCCCCAAAAAAGAAAAAAAATACTTCCTCAAATGTTAATTTTTTATCACTTTTTTTGCATGTGTATGAAGCAAATAGTTTTCACTGATTGAAACTTGCTTAGAAAGACGTGAGAGGAGAGGAAAAGGGGAAATACTTGTTCCAGAGAGAATATGGGCTTTTTCAGAGTGGAATAAACAAGCTAAGAAACAGAGACGCAAACAAGTGGGATGCCTGTTCAGGGGAGAACGCAGGCTTGAAGAGCAAGCCTGTATCACTTCTATAATCAGAAGCAAAACCAAATTTTTTTTCTTTTAATTTACAAGGTGGACAGCTTATGAAGAATGAGCATTTTCAGTTGCCTTTCATTTTAGATTTGTTAGCCTTTTGTTTAATAGCACTGCTCTTGGAGTTTTCTTATTTTCATTTGTATATGGATTCGACATTTAAAATACATAGAAGTCAGTTATTCTGTCAATATCTTGCATCAATGTTGTATCTTTAAGTCACTTAAATGTAACATCTGTATTTTTAAGGAACCAATGCCCATATTCATATACATTTTATTCTAGTAAGAAAATGCCCCGCATTTCTGTTAAAATTTCTTCTCTAGAATATTCTTAAATCTTAGAAAGAAGGCTATTATGGATAAAAGTTATTTTTAGGAATTAAATTGATTTTGCTGGAAGCTTTTCTTATGCTTTTTTTCTGTTTTTTACTCAAAATTATGATAATTTAAAAATTTCATATGTCAAAAATCCAGCAAGAAATAATCTAAAGGAACTGAGGGTGTCTCAGTGAGTGTATTACTACATAAGACCTGGGTTCAATACCTGGCATCACCAAAAAAAATAAGATAAATGAAGGAAAAAAGGAAATAAGAGATTTTTTCATATTATATCAATTTCTTTTAAAAAGTGTACACTGATAGCACAATGGGGAGGATGTTTGCCTCGCATGCGGCCAAGTTAGATTCTGTCCCTGGAATCCCTTATGGTCCACTGATCATTGCCAGGGGTGATCCAAAAAGCCAAAAAAAAAGAAAAAAAAGTGCAGGATTCTTTTCCTTTTCCATTCATATCAAGAAATCATGCCAAAGTTTTAAAAGCTATAATGATATAGCTTATATTTTGTAAATTCATTCTTCAAGTACGATAAGTCTCAAGACTGTTCCCAGGTTAATATTTAGTCTCACCCCCTTGTGCTCATTCGTAAAATCAGAAAATCTCGTTTTTCGTTTCTCAGAAACTCACCAGCTATAGCTTCCTCATTTAATGTATGTGACTGAATAAAGTGACCTTTAAAACATTCACTGATACAACCTAACCATCCTAGCTACAAGTAGTTACTTCATTCATAAAATATGTAAGTCCACCCCGATGCTAGTGAGTATAGGGTTGATGGAAACATTAATTAAAAATGAGTAAGAATGCTAACTGGTAGAGTTTAATGGGTATGAAAAGATGTAGAGGAAATTTCATAGTAGATATGATCAAACATATCAGAGCCATGAAGGTTGAAAAGAGGGAATGAATTCTTTAGGATTTTGGGACTTGAAGAGGGCATCTTCATAGAGGAGAAGGTAATGTCCAGAACCCTTGAAAATCAAATCAGGGACCTTTTAGCATTGTGTTTTTATATATCGTTCACTGTTGACAGATTTGTCTCTTTTGTTCTTATATGGAATGGAAATCTTCTGATAGAATGTGCAAACCCTCAGGATTTCTTCTACTTATCAACTCACTTGCATTTGCTTCCTGTCCAAAAGGCGGCCAAATATTTCACTTTTCTTAAATGCTACTTTTTTTTCATTCCATTTGAGATTCAGTTTGCAGGACTGATGACAGCAAAATTTAAACAACTCACTTGTGAAAATTTGATCATCTTTTTAAAATCATGTAGCATTGATATTAAGTGATTTTCGACATGGGGTAAAAGTCAAGAGCTCTTGAGAAACCCTTTATTTATGCATTATGTTTTTATATTAAGCCCTTTACAAGCAGTGTTTCTCAGGATGGGTCATAGTGCCCTTCATGAGGTACTGAAATGGCTGGTAGTAGCCTTGAGTGCAGTCAGAAGGTCCTTTCTCTTTGTTCCTTTAAGATTTTCATCACTGTGCTGAGGGTCGAGTATTTTTGTCTTTTTTTTTTTTTTTTTCCTGGAAAGGAGGAAATAGGCCAGATGAGTTTGCTAACCTCTGCCTTAGAATTAAGTCATGAACAAAACAGGCATGGTCTCTGTAACATTCTCAACAAAGAATAAAAGCTTATTTGCTATAAATTCATTAACTATAAAAATTTACTTGATAATTACCTCTCGATTTATACTTAGATTTCTCTTCAGCATCAGCATTACTCATAAACGAACACCCTAATGTTCATCATTGTAGAATTTGACTTTTCTCTTTGGATGCCAGTCAGAACATGATTAGTCGAGGGAAAGAATGGCAAGTCCTTAAATACTGATATAAATACATACATATGCAGTTTGATACTAGGCATGGTTTGATCATATTATACTGCTAAAACATAAATAAACATGCACACACAGACTAACGTTACCTCAATAAATACATGTTTAAATTGGTCAAAAACTTTTCCTGAATTTGGTCCTGAGAGCACAGTAGGCTGAGTATTTGCACTGTACTTGGTGGCTCAGGTTTAATCTCCAACACCCAGTATGGTCCCCCAACACTAAAAGAAGTAATCTCTAAACACAGAGCCAGGAATTCCAAAATCTCGCAGACACTACTGCGTCCGCGCAACATCATATGTTATTCATAACCAACAATAGAAAGCAAATTGTCTACTGTTGCTGTCTATTGTTACTGTTTTCAGCATGAACTCCACCTTACTTTTATTTTTTTCCTTTTTAATAATTTTATATATTGAGTCACTGTGAGAGCAGTTACAAAGCTTTTGGGTTTAAGTCTCAGTCACACAATGAAACACCCGTCCCTTCACCAGTGCCCATTTTCCACCCCCAAAATCCCCAGTATACCCCCATCCCACACGCTCCCCCTAACTGTGGGGGCAGATGATTTTCACATTATTCTCTCTCTCTACTTTGATTACATTCAATATTTTGACACCAGACCCACCATTATTATTTGGGATTTTACTCCAACACTCAGATCTGACGAAAAGGCAGCCGTAGACAATTTGTTTTCTACTGTTGGTTATGAATAACATATGATGTTGCATGGCCGCAGTAGTGTCTGCGAGATTTTGGAATTCCAAAATTTTAACAATTAAATGTGGAGGGATTTCTGCCAAAACCTGCTGGGTTCCTGAGTCTCTGGGATCATGGCCATTAAGGAGAGGCCGTTTGTGGGCTGCGACTGGGGATCTCCTTGAGGTGGGGTGGAAAGGGCCGGCTCCACCCCCATCCCATGAGGCCCCGCGTGTCTCATCACTGAGAGCCCAAACCTGACTGTCCAATGGCCTTTGGAGGATGGCGGCTACCGAGCTGCCATGGGGGAGTAGGCAGAGGGACAACACCCTTTCCCCCTTGAGTGGTCTGGCACTGGTAACCCATTGCAGGGACCAGACGCATCTCTGCCAGTAGCCACTGGGTGCTGAGATTTGTCTCTGAGTCTCTGGGATCATGGCCTTTAAGCAGTTTGATCAGGAACCAGAGAGGCCATGCCTCCAATTATATAGCTGAGCCGGAGGTGGTTTGTGGGTGTGTGTCCCACATACCTAACTTTCAGCCATTTCCTTTCTTGGTAAACTTCACTGCAAGTTTTTGGGGTCTGGCCAAAGGCAAAGCAGCAATTTTGGGGTATCTGGAAGTCTGAGGGCGCCATCAGGCTGCTGATGCACTCACCTCACAGGTACAGGCTGACCTGCTGGTGGCACCATACCCCTTAAAAATCTTATTGTTTAACTTGGTCACAATAGTGTTAATGTTGATGCTTTTGGTGTACAACTTACCTGCCCCTCCACCCTCATCAAAGTATCTGTGACCCTTTATCACTGTCCTTAGGTCATTTCTGCTCTACTGCTTCCTTACCCATCCGCTACTACCCCCTACCTGGTGGCTTCAGTTCTATTGTAAAGGTCTGAGGATTTGTGTTCGGTGCATACTGTCAGCTCCCCATTTTGTTTTTTATATTCCACTACTGAATGAGATCATCTGCCATTTTTCATTTTTAATATGACCCCCTTTGGTTCCATCCAAGTCATAGCAAAAGGCAAAATTGTCTTTGTCTCTCTCTCTCTTTTTTCTTAATACAACTGAGTAACATTCCATGGCCCATTGTATAAGGATGTTATTATAAGTCTTTTTGTTGTCCTTTGTTTTGGGGGGACCACACCCTGCAGTGCTCAGAGTTATTCCTGACTTGGTTACTCCTGGCTCTGCATTCAGAAATCATTCCTGAAAGTGCTTGGGGGAACCACATGGAACACTAGGGATCAAACCCTGCTTGGCCATGTGCAAGGCAAGTGCCCTTCCCACCGTGCTATTGCTCTGGCCCCACTGTTACAACTTTTTAGGGGAAAGCCAGCAATTACTGAGTTTCCACAAAGTAACAGCACTATGTTAGACATTTATATAAAACATACTGTTGGAAATGGTAATACCAAAAAAAAAAGAAAAAACCAAGTAACATATCAGAGAGATATCGTAGGCAGTGTCGAAGAAAGAAATTTTTGGTAGTTCCTCATCTAACTTCCTTTTTTCTTTCCACAAGATTCTTCTTGATGAACTCTCTTCTACTAAACACTGGGCATCCATGCATGTTTCTGACCACAGCGGTTTTCACTACCGCCAGTTTTTGTTAAAGTCATTGATTAGCCAAACTGTGATAGTTGGTTCTGTGTTGGAGCAAAATCATTTGAGAAGTGAGCATACCTTAATTCTTCCAAAAGATGAAGAAGCATCGGCCTCAGCAGAAGAACCAAGGATAAATCTTCCTCGTCTTCTTGAAGAAGAAGTTGAGTTCAGTACAGATCTCATTGATTCCTACCCAGGACATGAAACCCTTTGGTGTCATAGGTAAGAGAAGGGAAAACCAAGCCCCTCCCGAATTTGTATGCCCTTGTGAAAGTTACTGCATCTTACTCCTGCCTGCCTTAGGTAAAGAAATACTCTTGATTGTGGAGCTTTACTCTGAGTAGCTTGGAGGAGTTTATTTTACTCTCCTCCCTGCCTCCCCGTTTTGTGATTGACAGTATGAAGCTACCAATACCGGTCTCTACCTGTGGCTTTAGGATTGTGGCCTCTAACCCTGACTACACAACTGGATATTAACCACTGTTACTTCCAGACGAGAAACAGAATTTTCTGTCTTAATGGGACCGAAGTGCTATTTGTTAAGACAAAGATTAATTGGAATTTGGGTTTGGGATTAAGAAAGTGTTGGGAGAACCTCTGTATAACTCTGACTAGTAGTCTGTCATTGATCATTATTCTTGGTAGTTTATTTATCTTTTAAGCCCGGCAAGCTACCGAGAGTATTCGATATGCCAGACACAGTAACAACAAAGTCTCCAATGGAGACGTTACTGGGCCCGCTCGAGCAAATCGACGATCAACGGGAGGGCCTTTACCTTACCTTTTAAGTTTTATTTGTTGTAAATAGGTCCATCATATGCTCCCTGTCTACTACAATTGCAGAAAGAGTGGGTAAAATTATCTTTCTTTTTATATTTTTTTAAATTAAATCGCTGTGAGATACGCAGTTACAAGGCTATTCATTGGGTTTCAGTTATACAGGATCCCAACATTATGACTCCATCAGTGTATATTTCCCACCAACACTGCCCACAGCTCCCCTCCCACCCCCCTCCTCCCCCTACTCCATCATCAAAGGAAAATCATCTTCTAAGACACTATTTCACGGTGTGCTGGGTACTGCCCCCATCCTGTGGTGGTGTGTTGGGACCTATCGATCCAGCTTTGAATCCATGCAGTTGGGGGTAGCTTTCTGTTTGTTGCCTTGAAGAAGGTAAATTTCACAGAACACTGTGTGCCTTTTTTTTTTTTTCTCCTGTTAAAGGGACAGGAATCCAAGTAAGTTTGGGAACTTCTGTTTTTAGGGTTTATGAGTTGCTAATATGTGTAGTAAATCATTAATACCTGTGTAATTTATTGTATATAGTCAACAAAATTTGTGGATTCTAGACATAGATATCTTCATTTTTACCAATGAGTCTCAGAGCAGAAAAACTTGTTTTCCCTTAAAGGAATAATAGAAAACTATTTTTCTCTCTCTTTCTCTCTCTCTCCCCCACTTTCTCTCTCTCCCCCACCTTCTCTTTATATATATATATATGTATATATACGTATATATAAATAAAATACATATACAGGTATATAAATAAAATATACATGTATATATACACACATATACATGTATATATATTGTATATGTATACGTATATTTTGGTGGTTGGGGAATGTTTTGGGGTTGCACCCAAAACATTGGGTTAGTTGGTTAGTCTGGGCCAACTCCAGACTGTGCTCAGGGCTTACTCCTAAGTGGGGCTTAGGGATCACATGTGTTGCGGGGTCTTGAACTTGAGTTCAAGCACCTTCCCTGCTATACTCTTGCCAAGAGCTGTAATATTCAACATGCTCATCTGCCACACTGTACGTCCCTCATATGTGAGGAGACTTAGTTACACTCTACTGATGGATTTAGAATAAAATTCAGTTGATTTCAAAATAATAAGACGATGAACCACCCAAAAAAACTATTGAATAGGGCCGTGAGCTAAGCATGTAGAGGGAGCTATTTGCACTAGTCAAAATCATTTGTATTCTGGGATACCAGCAAGGCTTGGTTTGGGTTTGGGGTTTTTATTTATGGCAGAGACTGGACTAAGGCCTGCCTGTTTCTTATTATAGTCATGATAATCATCATCGTAGTAAGTGCTCTGATAGTCTTTGGTTGGGGAGGGGAGCAGTTAGTATTCACAATCCAGTACATAAGGATCTGTCCAAATGGCCCAGTCTTTCATCGTAAACCATTCTCCCTCTTTCTGGGTTGCAAAGAAGCAGTGAACTAAGAATTGATACATCTTGAGACTACCAACTTATTTTAGTTTTTCCTAAAAATGTCTGACTTTGATTTTTGTTTTTTCTCTCTTGTCTTCCTTCTTTCCCAGGCGGCATGTTTTCTACCTTCAGCATCACTTGAATGGTAGGCTTCCTCACTGTGTGACCCAGTTGTCACCTGCAGACAGCCCTGGGGGAACTGTAAGTGACTTGCACCTCATCTCAGGAGGCCCCCACATTTCTCAGGCAATGGAGGTCGATGGACTGAGTGACTCTAACAAACAGGGCTTTTCTCAGGAAACCAAACGCCTGAAGCGGACCCCAGCTCCTGACTCTCTGGGCCTGGAAATGGAGCACAGGTTCATCGATCAAGTATTGTCTACGTGCAGGAACGTGGAGCAGGCCAGATTCGCCAATGCGTACAGAAAATGGCTGATTACACTGAGTCAGTGAAAGAAATGGATCAGCCCTGCAAGGTCCCCTTCTAGTGCAATATTGTTTTCCTTTCTTATTTACTTAGTTGCATGAATTGTTTCCATAATTGCCTAACTATGTATGTTCTTCATCTTTAGATTAAAAGTCCATAGGGGATCTTGATTTATTTTGTTAAAGAACTGACATTCCTTTGGGGATACAGTAACTCTGTAGTTCCTTCCTGCTAAACAGTGAGTCTTAATGTTTTTAACTTCTTATCCTTTATATTTGTGTACATGAGATTTCTTGTCATTTGGTTCTTTTAACGTGGTTCAAATATGCCACCCCCCGCAGTGCAATTGCGGCATAGGCTAATTTTTTTTAAAGTGAAAATTTATGCTATAGTTCTACCTAAGAACAGTACAAATGCAAAATTACTCAATTTAGTGGTTGATCTGAGAATCAAATGGCCTGATGGATGGATACGTGAAATGCAAATCATTTCTTTTTTCTCTAGAACACCCTACCCGTGATAGACCCACATAACCAAAGTGAAAAATGTCTGAATTTATATGAAAAAGTGCTTCCAATAGACCCATTTTTGAAATGGTTATTTTAAAGAAACTAATTTTAAGATTTTATGTAATAGCAGTACTGGAAAATTATTTTTATTACTAGTTTTGATAGATTGTTTTTACCTCAGATTTGGTATATGCCAAAAACAATCAGTCCATATAAAAAGTAAACTTTTTTTGAAAACCTGAAATGCCATTTTTTGTTATATGCTTACTTTGTTTTTGAAGTGACCCTGAAAAAAATGGAGAAATATTCATAGAATGTCCATTAAAGTCTTCCTTTTAAAAAATGTAAGTTATTGAAGATACACTGGATGAATGATGAAACTTCTTGAAATGGTTAATAGAAGTGTACTGGCAAATGCCAAAGGAGAGGAATACTTAGAAGGTTAGTTCTTCGGTCTTTATTTTAAAAAATAAAGCAGTTTTTTAAATTTTAGTACTCAACTTATCAGGGATGAGGTACCAAAGTATCCACCTTACTGTGAGCTGTGTATCTTATCTTTTTAGTAAGTAACAAGGGCTGGATTTTTCAAGTCATGAGGTAGGAGTGGGGAACGGTCCAATAATCTATCTCTTCCTCCTTCCTAGAAACTCGGATTTCTTCCAATATAGCATTCTCTGTTTTCCCAATCAATTCCATAGTTGGCATCTTTCACGTTTTCACACTTGTCTTTCCTGTATTATTTCAGGGATGCACACGTAATCTCATGAATTTGAGAACCCACTGAACAAACAACATGCAATAGGAGTCTGAACTGCTTCTGTGTCAGCTTGCTAGTGGTGAAAGCCATCTGTAGTCTTAAGCCTGTGTGGACTGTTAGTCAATGAAACAGCTGTGACCAGCATCCTTCTTTCTGCTTCTGAGGTTGCCTTCTGGAGGATCCGCCAGGGGTAGGGAAAGGCACTCCTCTTGTCACAATGTTATGGAAACACCGAATTTGAGTTAGGTGCCGAGCATTATGGGGGAAAAAACAGGCCCTTTGCTGGTGCGTGCATCATTATTTTATTGATTGACAGTCTGTCATCTGAGACGTAAGAACACCAGAGAAGTTGTCCAACTGGACCCTGTTGTCAGAAGCTGCTCTTCTTTCTTGGGGCAAAAATGACCTTTTTATACTTTTGTAGTACTTTGGTGAGAAAATAATTGCCATTGAGAACATAATTTCATCACTCTTTGGGTGCAAAGCATATTTTGAATCAAATACCTCAAGGTCTACCCTAGACCTCTACAGATAAAATCTTTAGTTTGATTTTCAGCACCTGCAGGGGGTGGTGGGGCAGGGACTAACTTATGTGTATTATACTCTCACACCCGGATGCTATGGATATTCCACTATTTCACTCACGGATGTTGCCAAATTCTGGCCTCACTCAGTATTCTCTTTGTTTCTGAGCACTATAGTATGTATCCCGAGTAATATGGCCCCTTAAGCTTTGATGTTAGAGAGTCAGGATATGACTAAAACAAATACCCTGTGAAATTGGAGCTACTGTTTTATCGCGCTCCCAACATTTTTATACTTCCCCCCAAACTATGCCCAATTTTGATGTGAACTTTCACGTATTTTAAGGCATTATGCACCCCAACCCTTTGAAGCCATTCAGCACTTCAGTATATCTTGGTCTCTTGTCTTCTATTCAAGTTTTCAGTAGGGAGTAAAAATCGAACTATCCAAAGGTTACTGTTTATATATGACTTGTATGTATTACTTTATTTCTGAAATTTGAACTGATTGTGTTCATTCACCGAAAAACTAGTATTGCCCTAGGAGGTTTTCTCCCCGCCTCACCCCTGCCCCAGAATGGTTTGGTGTCTAAATTCCCCATTTGTAGTACGGTATTTCTGACAGACTGAGATCATGCGGTGAAAAGGATACATCTATGTTCAGGGATTTATTAGTCTTCACTTTATTTTTTTCTATGACTATGTCATTAGTTAAGAGGAAATGTCGGCGTATACTGACACACATTTTATGGAACTTCCATTGGAAGAATAATAGGCTGTTTTACCATCCTGCGGATCAGGAATACTACTGACAAGCAACAAGCAATAAGATCTGTAAATATCTCCACACCGCCCTCTTCCTCTATTCCGCCAGTTCCCTAGTATACCTATTTAGTAATGTAATGTTCCCAGAATCTGTCTGTGCCTTGTACATTGTGAGGACTCATTAAATATTTATTAATGATTAGCTGAAAAGAGGGAAGACATGAGGGATATATTAAAGTGAGTTCTGATTGAGAAATTGATGAATTACGGCAATGAATTGTGAATGAAGTAGCTTTATGATGCTTCAGGGAAGCCATTAAATATAGAATAAGTTAATTTAGATGTTTTTCTTCACTTAACTATCTTGTTAAAATTTATTCAATCCCAGCCAATAACTAAAAGTCTGTAATGATCAATTTGAGTACTTTAATGTATATTTTTAAATTCTAGATCTAAGGAAGCAAGGCCATTTGCATTACGAACACAAGTTTCCATTCATTTTTAATGCTGGAGGTCCTAGCTTATCAATAGAGCTAGATCCCTACTTAGGGTGTCTGGAGAAATGCTTTGACTTCAAGACTTATCCTGTATCTACCTAAATGTTCATTTTGTGTTTCTCCTTTTTCCACAGCAACTTGAACTGTGGACATTTTAGATATTTCTTAAACTTGCGTGAGTCATTTTTTAAAATTCAAAGATTTGACACCTATTAAAATGTCCTCCTTTTTCCCCCCTATATTTTCTTTCGAAATTTTCCTATCTCTTTGGACACAATAGGCTCAGACATTGAGCCCTATTCCTTATTCCTGTGGCATGGCTTTAATTTAATGAAAGGCTTAATCATAATAGGATTAAAAAATATTGAGGTTGTCACTTGAAACCACTTCAATCTCCATATATGGACTTCTGTGATATCTTGGTCCAAGATACGGAAGCAAAAATTACTGGGTTTTTATGTGGCGCTTTGCAGTAATGCATATGGTAGATTGTGGTACTTAGATATCCCATCATGTCAGTTTCCACCTGAGACACACATGCACGTGCATACAAAGAAGAATTAATACTGTTGGGAGGAAAGTGATGCCCTAGTGATTCTCTGCCATAGTACAAGATTGTGTCTCACACAGGTGTGCAACTATGACTAGCTGTACAGTTTAATCTCTGCCTTTCAGGATAACAGAAAGTAGCAGCATAGACTCTTTCCTTTTCACCTTTGACAGAATGCTTTTCTGAGCTTAGTTATTTACTGGAAAATTACAAAACATTAAATAAAGTATGCTAGCAAGTCTGAAGTGCACTGTAGCAAGCAGAATCCAATGGTCTTGAGACCATTTCTCCAACAGATTCTGCAGAGCCCGGCACCCTGCAAGGTGCTGGGCATACTCCTAACATGCTGCTGGTGCATGGTGGGCCCTGTGTGAAGGCAGAGGAACGGTGAGACTGACTCTGTCATGAAAGTGGTGAGCAGGAAAAACCTGAGAATGCTACTCAGAGTCGTACAGTATCCGGGGGTGGGGGAGGGGGGCAGATAATCTATACACACTGTTAACGCAAGTGCCTTGCATATACTGCAGGGTGGGTGGGGTGGGAATCAAGACTTTATTTAAGCCCAGTGCTTAGGTAGAAAACAGAAACTGCAAGTCTCGGCGTTTGATTGTGACTTGCTTTCTTTTTTCCACTTGTTGGGCATGGTACCACAGCACTTTTTTTTTAATCCTTGAATGTGATACCGGCATGAGCAGGTAGAAAGTTTTGGGTTGTATTTAATTACCATTTTTAAGCGCCCTGCTGAGAAAACTGCGTTCTGTATGACAGAGACCGCTTTGAGGTTGGTGATATCACAGTCATCATTAAAGATCAGCCAGGACCCTGTCCGTCCCGGCTTTGAATGGAAGCAATGCCACTCCACCCTAAAAGAGGTCGTATAGTTGTCCCAACTGAGTCCTTGCCTCATTTTAGGGATTGGAAGGACTCCCAAATTCAGGGTTACACGAGGTAGCTGAAAGGAAAAGGGGCATGGGACCTTTATCCTTTGAAATGTTGCAGAAGAAGAAAAGACGGGTAAAATGTAAACTATATCCTTTAGAGTGCATGGTGGGAGGAATACAAAGAGGGAAGGGAGGGAGAGGAATTTCGTGTGATGAGGTAGCATGTAATTTTAACTGATCAGGTCATTAAAGAAAAAAGTCATACCTAAAGATTCCAAAGTGCTTTGCAGGGAACTGCTGAATAATATACTTCCTCAAGGGCACTAATACATCACATTCATAATGGAGACCATTGTGACAGTTGTGCATCTGGGGTGTGGAAGCCTCAGCCCTCAGCTGTGACTGGCGCAGCCTCCTTAGGCCACGTTAACACTGTACAACCAAACTCTGTGCTGACCTAGCAGCAGTACCTTCGTCTGCTGATGAAACCTTGTGCTTCCAAGAATATTCGCTCTCTGTAGCTTGTGCTTTTTGGACAGTGATCTGGTCCATGAAGCTAACCCTGTCATTTCTCCTATTAGTCTGTTATTCCTCAGGGTGTAGAAGATTTAGTCAATTTAGGACAAAATTTTATATTCTGTGCAAAAAAAAAATTGCAAAAACATGTGAAATATATAACTAGCTCTTAAAATTTTAGTGTAGATAGTATTTTTTATAACCTGCAACTGGTACAATAGCTCGTAGTTGCTCTGTGGTTGCCTCATTGTCTCTCTGCTTTTGTCCCTGTGGCTCTGTTGTGAGTGTTCTTTGACATGTGCTATCTATGGCGATGGTTTCTATATTGTGTTTTTCATGTTTGGCCCAGATCAGACCGTTTCAGTTGGCATCATTCTCAGTTTCGGGAAATCCTATGGAAGAAAATGGTTGCTGTTGATTTTCAAACTGGCAGTTCTTTTGCTTTAAACTTCATTTTCCCTGAAAGAGTATTTTGTGTCCAGATCCCTATACATGTCTAGTGTATTGCATAATGCCTTGAGCCTTGTAAGAATTTCACAGGTCCGAATTGCTAAAGGCTAGTCGAAAGTAACGCCTCTCTGTCTTCTGCCTATTTTTCTCATTCTTTGCTTCTAGAGAAATGCAAAAGATCCATAATCAGGTTCGAATGTACAGAACAACGATTAGCAGCTGTACAGCAGTGCAAGTGAAATTTAGGTTAGGTCTTTTAAAAGCTTATACTTGTATGTATATTACACAAATACATATAAATGGAATTCAGAAGTTGAATTAGTGTAGTGGTTTGTCAATAAAAATTTATCTGGAGGATTTTAGTTTTCACGTTTACTTAAAAGTGCTCCTATTCAAGGCAGTTTTATTAGACAAGCCACCTCAAGCAAAACTGGCAACCAACACGTATACCCACTAAATGTCTAAATAAACCAGGTTGTGTGTGTGTGTGTGTGTGTGTGTGTGTGTGTGTGTGTGTGTGTGTGTGAGAGACTTTATATTAAGCCTCTGGTTGCTTATGGCTCATTCTTTATGGCTTTCCTTCCGTAGCTTTAGGAAGTCAGCCTTAATGGTGTTTATGGCAATCACTTTCCTTAAAGTACTATGCAGCATAGTTCAGGCCTTTACCTTTATAAAGTGATTTTGAGGGCTTTTCATGTCATAGGGATGCACCATTTCACACGTCTGGGCATTGAATCGTACAGCGGTCTGCCAGAAATGCTCATGTCCATGTACATAGAGTATTTTCCCTCACAATGCCATTTTGTATTTGGAGCAGTTCTTCCTTTTTCCTTACAGAATGAGTATAAACTGCAATCATCTTAGGTGCTTAATACACATGTAGTCACTTATTGATCAAACTGAGCATTCCGAAAATAGCTTCTTGTCATCTTGTCACCGAGGAATTTACTTTTAGAGTAATATATGTTTCAAGTGGAAGAATTATATT